ATGTTTCTTGCCTTCAACAAAGTCTGTCGGCTTGAAGTGATCAGAACAGACACTCTTGGTGTCCAAGTTGACAGCAGAGGCTTTAAGACGCAATGCCTCAATCCATTCCCAGCATCTGGTCCTGTCTACGGGAAACTCGTGAAAAGATACACCACAACCACCTCTTACGGATCTCTTTCTGGAGACGGAAACGCAGCATTGTACCATGGTGCGGCCCTGGCAGAGGAATCGTGCGAGAACATTGTTTTAGCGTTTCGCCCATGCCAGGACACAACCAATCCAAATGGTACGAGAGCTCGTGCGCCGAGAACTATGGACATAAGCAGTGAAGATACATATTTGTTATCATTTCAATAATTGTAGTAAACAAAAAGGGTTGGGCTATGAGCATTCAAGGTCAGTCATTCGTTATTTTATTGCAAGGTACACGTATAAAGAAAACGTCGCTTGTTTCTCTCACAATCAACTACTGTAAGGACTTCAGCAACAAATAAAATGTGCTCAAAACATTTTTTTTCGAGGTATACGGCTAATGATGAAAGCAAGCAAGTGAAAGGAAAGAACAGCCTGCTTTTGCTTTCCGCGCTCGTTTGTCATAAATGCTAGGGCGGTCGAACAGTCGATGGGGTACCGTTCGCGTTTGCTCGTCCTGGTCCTACATTTTTTACAGCGGAGCTCTAGTTTCCCCAGTATCGTGTCCGCAGACAAGCGGCGTGTTGACACAAAACTATACAGCTACCGCCATCTATGAGCGGCGGTGGCAACTTTTCCAGCTGTTCTATCCCGCCTACGCGGGCCTTTGTTATGTTACGGAGTGCATGGGTGCCGGTGAACTAGAAAGCATATGGACATGGTGCAGATACTGAATAGACTGGTGTGGGCCGGTGGCTTACTATGGAACCGCAACCTGGTAGCCGACAGCATTTACAGGAAGCTTAGCCCACGACCCTGATTACGAAACTGGTTGCATGGCCAGGCCAAAAAAGCCAAGTACCCCGAGAGAACCCTGGCTGGGTTCCTCCGGAACAAAGGAAAGACGGAACCGCTCCGTTCGAGTTCCGACAGGCGACAAGCTCGCGCCAGTCTCTCGTGAGACCAACGCACACGCTGCTTTGTTTATTTATGTTGATGGCAATGCGGCATGCCCATCAAAAACCATTCATATGTGGAGATGGTTCACGAGTGGCACCACCTCTGGAGAAGAAAATTAACTACTGAATACTACACCAGTTATTCCACTCTGGTTTTCACTAGTCACTGGATCCTGAGAAAGTAGCGCCATTGCCTTCCCTACCTGCTAGCCGGACACAAACGGATACTAACATACAGACGACCCAAACCTCGCAAGGCGATTGGCTAATCGGCCTACGTTGCCATGGAAATCGCCATCTTGGCCCATTTAAATCTTCGAAGCTTCCAGGGGGTCGTTCTAAACCAGTCGCGCCAAGATCACCATGGAGCATCATCGTACTGGAAGCGTTCCTCTTCAATATAAGAGTCTTTGGCACTTCGTATGCGATCACCTTATTAATCAGGCCCATCTCCATGGATCTCTTACAATTATATTGTTCTTCTTGCGCATTTCAAGACAGTTAACTTATTTTTCAGTGCCTCCAAGCACCGACACAGCATCTGCTGGTGGTACGAACGTGTACGCCTGTTTCGCCGGTGTGTGGTTAGCGAAATCTCGGTATACAGAAACGACTCAATAAAGCTACCCGTCACCAGCGAATCTAGATAGGCTCACCAAGAACGAACGGGACAAGGAGAAATTGCTCATTTCATGGACCAAGATGGCGACCACACGCGGAGCTTGGCGTTACTTTCCCAGGATCCAGTGACTTTAGTTTTCACCAGAATTGAAAGGCTGAATTTCTCTAGACGTCGTCCTAGAAGTTGTCCTTGAGGTCTTCCTAGACTTCGTTCTTGAGGTCATCCCAGACATAGTCCTTGAGGTCGTCCCAGAAGTCCTAGACGTCGTCCTCAACGTTGTCCTCGAGGTCGTCCTTGAGGTTATCCTAGACGTCGTCCCTGAGGTTGCCCTTGAGGTCATCCTAGAAGTCGTCCTTGAGGGCATCCTAGACGTCGTCCTCTCGGCGTCGTCCTATACGTCCTAAAAATAAGCTTTGCTGGTCCTACATCTTCATGTGAAGTGAAAGGACTCTACAATTTTTTCCCCCACCAAATAAGTATGTGCCACCAACCAGCCCAACTACATGCCTTGTTATGCTCGTACCAAAATAGTAATGCCATTTCTTTTACAGCAGGCAATAGCCCAGGCCTTGTTGCAACAAACTAGAACATTAAATCTTTGTTCTTTCCGAAATACAAGCTGGAAACAGGATATTTGTGTGGATATCAAGTAGGATGTCTACAAGCTACGGGAACGTCCTCATCTTAAGACTACCAACAAGGAGAGTGGGCTGGAGAACGGCACCTAGACTCCAGAGAAAAATAAAAAAAGATTGTGATCGTGGTGAAGCATGAACACAATACATCCACTAAAGTGACAGATGAATTACCTTAATGTTATCATTTTCCCTGTTAAAGTTCTCTCGGTTAAAAATCTTGACTGTAGACTCAACGCTACCAACGTTGCCAAACAAGCGTCGCTTTAGTAAAAAGGTATAACTCTTGGTGACTGAAAACTTTGCGCATGTGAGGTTTTCGTCACGTCCATATTCAACGGCAAAATAAACAAATGTGCGCTCCAAACCAGGCCAGACTTGCTAGAAACAGCGTCTAAGCTGAGACTGGGGAAAAGGAAGCGCTGCCAAAGCCAGCGCAGGAGCCGAGCGGGACTCAAGCCACGTCTCAAGGCACTCAAGCACCCCACCCTTTGCACTGCTTTCTTTCAGCCAGTCTCAGGTGAGATGCTGTCACCGAGACGCCGAGGTTGAATGCTTCTATTTCACGCTTTATATGTCGTTTCCAATATTTTGATGTCGCGGTCTGCTGATTGGTTGGTACTGTGTCGCATTTTTAGTTTACGCTCTAACCACAGGGGGAGTATTCGGCGCTGGTGACAGCCTTTGCTCCGCCCATTGGCCAAACTCTCCCAATATACGGCTTTGGGATGTCAGACTGGAGCACCACCTGGTGGCATTTGCAAACGTCCCCAATAATGATACAATGAATGTGCAAAGGCGTCGGCAGTGCAATAGGTATTGATGCGACATAAAATCTCCACCGAAATGAACCATGAATGCAAAAGGGATACTCAAGCAACTAAAAGTTCTAATACATTGTGCAAAAAAAAAAAAAGTACAAGGTTTTTTTTTTTTATTGCAAAATTGTAATGAAGCATTGCCGAAAGCTCAGCCCCACTCAAGAGTAGCGCTAGCGGTCCGAACCACATGCCCGAGTTTCAGAACTCTTATATTATTCAAAAGTTAAAGGCCGACGACCAGACTTGGGAGATTCTGCAAGGCAGAAGATCCTCCTCAACATGGGGAAGGAGGATACCGGCAACGGTAGACAGGGTAAAAGGGGGATGAGGAGGACGAGGGAGAAAAGTGGAAAGCGCGAACCGGTGGTTGGGCTTTAAGCAGAGATTTTCCAAAAATTTCAATGGGAAAGTGGGTCTCGCCTTTAGTAACTGGTGCCATTCAGCTCTATTTATTCGACAATTCGTCCACCACCATTTTTTCACCGAAAATTTCGGAAAATTATGTACAACTTGTGTACAAGACAATTAGTATTAAACTCTGGCACCTGGTTCAGACTAGAGCTACACTTGGGCAGAAAATGAGCGTTCAATCATGCAGTTTATTTTCTAAAAAAAAAAGTGGATATAATTTAATATTTTGTACCAAAACTCTGTTGCTTCGCATTCTTTTCTCACTCCTCTTGCATGCTCACTTGTATGTGCACGTATATGCACCATTGCATACTTGTTTCATTTCCATGGCAGATGTTTGTCAGATGAACACCCCATTGCATACTCCTGTACCACAGATGTCCGTTAGATATGGCTACCAGCCACTAATACGAGCATGACTCTCATACATTAGAGCGTTCACAGAACGACTGCTTAACAAAAAACGCACCCCTCCCAAGGGCCTCAATAAAATCCACACTTCCGAGCTTGCAAGCACCGAAAATCATTGTTGTGGGAACGCCAGGGCCACGTTCCACGAAAAACGGGCATCGCGTTTCCCTCGGGCTTTTTCCACCTTTTTATTAAGAAAGGACACTACCCAGAAAAACAAAAACATTTCGGCAAAAAAAGGTTGATTTTGAAAAATGCCATATTTACGTCCACCAACGTATAGTGTTTTCAGAAAGTTTCATTAGTTTACACTGCATAGTTAATTTCTTATAATTTATTTTCGGTCCACTGATGCTAAAGAAAAGGTAGGGGTTGGAACACTTTCAATGCATTTTTTTCCGTTCCACGTTTTGGCATAAATTTCACTTTAGGAAGACCATTGTTTGTTGATGGGACAAGAGGAAAGACTCTCATTGTTTTTCCTAATTGGAATTTTATGGGCAATACAACTGTGGCATTGCTTTTTGATTTGCGAGTCTTTTGTAAAAGATGTTAACATTTTCTCGACGACATAAAAGGCGAAAAATGTATTCGATTTTCCACTGCGATGCTTGCATAAAATAAATTAGTTTTTGAGAAATTGTGTTTTCACAGTTGCACACTCCAGGCATTCTGCTGCACATCTAGAGTAGAAAAATGTTGGGTATTACATTAGTTTCTTAACGATAGTGTTCCTAAACAAAGTGCGTGTTCCTGATAAAAACAATAATTTATTTTACAATTCATGTACACAGATGAAACTTTGCACTGCATTCTGGCTAGCAAAAGGGCCAGAATATACTGTAAACTTCATTCGTATTAAGCCAAAGGTTCAAAACTTGACCCTCTTGGGTAGTGTCCCCCCTTAAACGACGGTAAACTTAACCGAGCCGAGGAACAAGGCAGCCTGCTACATACCCCGTAGCTACGGTAGGCCTAACTCTGTTTCTAGATGAAACTGACGACCGCATACAATTTAATCTGTTTATTCTCCAAAAAAACTGGTTCCACAACACTCATGAAATTACTATTACCTCCGGTAGGCTCGTGGCAAAAAACGTCCTTAAGAGTTCTCGTCAAGCATAATGAGCCGCTAGTCGCACGTGCACACACATTCACCCACACACACACACACACACATCGGCACGCAATGCAGCTGACTGCGCTCTCCACGTACACCTTCTCAGGTTGTTCTGTACACGCACAAAGAGAAAAAGCTCTAGAGTTGAGAATTCTACCCAAACAGGGTACAAAGGAAAGAAACTCAAGTATGCCTTCAATCCATTTTGAAGATGGCCGCTGCTAGCCCCAAACAAAATGGCCGCCCGTGTTCGAAGCAGACGATCTCCGCCGACGCAACAGACGACGCCGAAAAAGAAAAAAAAGAAATTGGGGGCAATCAACACAGCATGATCGAGAAATAATGCACCATATACAAGGGCTAGAAAAAAGAGACCGAAAAAGCGCTCGAAATGACAGTCAACCAGGAACGTAACCGCGGGGAGACTGTAACACTATTTCAGCATCGAAAAGAGACCGAAGCTCAACACGGATTGTTTTTGAGGTCTCCTAGAAAAACAAAGTAGCCGGTAGAAAATAAAAAGTACATCGGCTTATAAAACGCGGGAAGGCCATAAATGCGCTACTTCAACCATCGCATAGAATTGCATTTGTTGCATTCCTTGGATTCCTCTTTACTTTTCACCGTTTAATTTCCAAGAAACAGACGTGCATTTGCTTCGACGTCACCAGTCAAAGCTTTTTCTGTCCTTGGATGCAAGAAAGAAAGCAACAAAAAAAAAAAAAAAAAAAGAAGAGAAGGAGAAACTTTACACAAGACTTGTCCACTTAGTTTCATCCGTCGTCGTCGTCTGCTCGTCGCTGTCCTTCGGCCCCCTCGCAAACAGCAAGGCCCCGGCACCCCCCCTCCACCCCACCCCACAAGCGGCCAAACACAAAATTTAGACCCCACCCAAAGCTGCAAGCTCCCAAAAATAAAAATAAAAAAAGAAAGGTGTTAGGAAAAAATTATATTAAAAAAAGAAAAACTCGACACAAAGCAAAACAAGATGGCATACACTCTCAGGTCGTCTGCAACTAAGCTCCCCTACGTCGTCCGTCTGCTAGACTGCGTCCAGTTCGCGGCCATGTCTGGAGTTCCCACAAAAGAACTTGTCTCATAAAAAAAAACACACTTAAAAAAAGAAAAATCGAGGAGTGTTAGAAAAAAAAAAACATGTAATAGTCGCAAAAATCAAAAGAAGGTAGCCGCAGACAGAGGCAGAGGGGAGGCCGTGAGAGCACCACGCGCTGGCGACGTTTTCACAGCCGGGAGAGTGAGGGGGCGTGCTGCCAAGGGGTAGGTAGCGATAGTCGGGGAAGGGGGGGACGACGTCTGCAGTAGGTCGGGGGTAGAAGGGGCGGCCGGCGCAGAAGCGTGCACGTGACTGCTCCTTTTCTTCTTGGAGCGGCGGCGGGAGGGCTTTCTCTCTCTCGCCGGTCGCCACTTGCAGCAGGACGGGGGACGAGGGGAGGCCGCTTCTGAGGCGCTTCGACCCAGCTTGTAAGTGGCGCAAAGCTGCCAGCACGATGGCCGCGGCGGCCGGTCTTGCGCAGGCCGCGGATCCGTCTCGCCGCAACTGGAACCGCAAGGGGCCAAAGATGGCAAGTAAGAACCCCCCCCAAAAAAAATAATGCTAAAAAGTTGAAAACAAAACAAAAAAATTGTACTGAAATGCTTAGATCTACGACACATTCGTACAAAGGGGTTTTTCTCCGAGGAAAGGTCGTTGAGTTTTCGGACCTCGCGCGTCACGTCATGGACATTTGCTAATCCCGCGAGCTTGCGGGCAGCCGTGAAGAACGTGCAAACAGCCCACGGGAACACCGCCTAAAAGACGAGGCCGTAGTGCCGACATTTTTGCATCACCAGCAAAGACCAATGTTGGGCACAGGTTGGAAACAAGTGCTGCGTCGGCGCTCTGCTTCGAGTCAAGGTTCGAGGTTGTAGCCGAACGTTGACGCAATCGTCGTGTTCAATATGTGATCAGCATCAGCCTTCGCCGATGAGGACGTCTTCATCAGCACTACGGCTTTGTTATTTAGGAGGTGTCGAACCGGCCCCCTCTTTAGGGGGAGGATTACGGCTAACGGCATTGAGTCGTAAGATGCTTTTCCCTGCAGTCCCTGCAGTCGGTCGCAGAAGTGTCGGGAGAAAATGACGCCAAAACGTGTCCGCATTTAGCATAAGAGTTCCGACTCAGCAAAGCGCACGAGTTCTGACCCCAAGACTGTCCACACACTTGTGTTTTCCGAGGGATGGTCTGTTCTCCTGGGCGTCAGCAATTTCGGATGCGGCTTCCCTCGATCGCCGTTGCCGCCACACCTCGGCTTTACGTCGTCATGTACCTCGCGTGCACCGGGGTACAGAAAACACGTGCCCAAACCCCGCTGCTGCCATAAGAGGAGCACACGTCGACGGCGGCGGGTCGTTATTTGCACGCGGGAAGACTCCTTTCCTCCTACGCGAGACGTAACGGGTGAACGAACGGAGCGAGAGAGCACGGCGGGAACTGCGCCATGCCTTGCGACACCTGTCCGGTCCAAACCAAAGACAGCCGAGTGCACCGGGGCACAAATGCCGACGCGTTTAAAAGAGGAGCAAACACAAAAGTCGTCGTCGTCGCAGCACCCCGCCCTCCTCCTTTTTGCGGACCACTTCACGCCGGCCAAATTTCTCGTCCACGCCATAAACCGGTGCCACCGTACCTCGAAGGCCTTACGCCGTCTAAACAAAAACGCTTTTTTGAGGGGGTGGTCGTCCCGACCCACCTGTGGGGGGGGGGCCCTGCCCACGGAGTGGCCCCGGTTCCTCAGTTGTGGATCTTGATGGCCTTCTCCAGGTAGTTGTAGCGGGACCTCTTGGGCGCCTTGTTGATGTGTTCGATGCCCAGCCAGGGACGGGGGTGCATCGCCGCACCTGGCGGACAAACCGCGCTTGCAGTCACTCTCGGCACGGAGGGGCCCCCGCGAGACGTCCGTTTTGCCTAACTATGAGCTGAACACTCCTCCCAGACAAAAACAAAACGAGAGCAGCTCCCATAAGCAACAATGACGCAGAAGTTGAAATATTACACGAGTACAAACCGTCCGATGCAAGCCTTCGTTCCTTAAAACATAATAGAATCTGAAAAACAAATTCTTTCAATAACTAAGAAAAGAAAGAAAAACAAAAAAACATGATCCCAAGAAGCTACTTTTAGCACGCATGTTTTATGTTTCTTGCTTCGTTCGCGAAGTTTTCAAAACAGAAATTAAGTTGAAAGTATGCAGTGTCCCGTTGGCATCCAATTTATTCTGTCCCCGTCTTCGAGCATTTTACTTCAAGAAAGCTTCGAACGCAAAGCTGTAAGGGCAGAAGCAATTACGCGACTCCCACAGTCGGTGACGCGGGAAGTCGCGCGACGGGTTCTCCAGGTCGACATTGTTTTTTTATGGCAAACACACCACTCTGCAGTAAAAATTTCGCCAGGTGCCCTCTTGAAGCTCTAGTATCCTACAACTTTGCACAAAAATAAATGCCTTTTTAGGGATGCAGGGGCCCTGGAAAGAGGACTCCTCCCGCCTCGGAAGAGCCAAACTAATTGTTTATCAAAAGTTTTTTTCTCTCACTCTCGAGATTAAGAAACACCGCGAGCATCTGGCATACATCATAACAAAATCAAGAACAAAAAAAAAAAAAAAAAATTTTAAAGAAATTGTTACAAATAACGCAACACAGATGCAATCGAAGAGGGCCTTTTTTCCTTTTCTTTTTTTCTCCCTCGTAATTGGCATTGTTATTTTACGTTGTGCCACAAGATGGGGTATAAATACTATTGTACAAAAAAGGAGGAAGAACAATAAAGAGAACTACCGTAATATCCCGAGTCATCGCCCATCTCGGATTGTCGACCATCCCACTTTTTGGACTAATATCAACTTCCAGAAAAAAACATAGAGTCATCGCCCACCCCTAGAAATACCCCAACGCAGACTCCGCAATCCGCGAACATTCATCCCTCCCGAATGACGCGGCCGCGGACCTTACGGTTGGAGGACGTCCCTGACAAAGTGAAACGAAGAAGGGAAAGACACTTGTTTTTGTATACGCATTTCCTCCGCGAGTGACCCCGAAGTCGTAGTGTATCCATGCGAAAATAAAACGATGGAGATAACAAAATGAAAGTTTGTTTGGCTTACAAATTACGTTTAGCAAAATATTGACTGGGTAGTCAGCCGACAACATATGAAATCATCTGGCAAAGAGTAAAAAAGAGCATTTTTGCGGGGGGTGTCAGTGTACCTTTAACTAGTAGAGTGGGCAGAAGCGTATGGAACGGGAAACAGCCTCGCAACAGGGCACGGATGAATGGTAAATGATGCACTAACCTTGAGGAGGTTGCGCCATGAAGTCTTGCAGGTTCACCACGTAGTCTGCATCCTCGATGAACTGCGCCCGCCCCATTACGACAATGGCGAACTTGTACTGGAAAAGGAATACAAAAACAAGGTGGAATGAAGAGTGAGGCTCGCAATTTACCGGGACTGCTCGTTTGACAAGCCCTATGATGTCGGGGCTAGGAAGAAACAACGGTGGTGGAGCCCCGTTGTCTCAGTCTCCAACAGAGCCGTGTAAAACGTAATCAATACACGATTAAAATGCAATTAAGTTTGTTGGCCGGGGGCTTTTCACGACCTGCTCGCACCCTTACGACAACCCAGAAACCATTTACTCCGTCACCTTCCAAGAGACCCTCTGGAAATGACCTTAGAGGCACCTCCAACGTCACAAATGGGGACACACGTTAGAGCGGTCAGCTCTCGGAGCAACTTGGAGAAGCTAGAGCACAAAACTACGGGGCAGCTTAAAAGGTCAGCGTACCTTTTCGAACTCCTTGTCAGGGATGTCCAGCTTCTTCTGAATCCTGTCCTTGACCTTCGTGAAGGGTTCCCGCTGCAAATACACACAGATCCCCGCGTTTCGTCATAAACGTTTGCCACTGCCAAAAAAGGAGGCTCGTCGCAATTGTCTGGCGGCAACCGACGACGCGAGAGAATCCGAACAGGCAAATCTGCTCCCTTACGTCAGTGAAGGGCTAAGTTGCGGCTAAGAACGAGATTCCGCCCCCTCTCGCTCTCAAGTGAGGCTAGGCCTGAATATCTCTATAGTCCGTTGTAAACCTAAGAACGAAGGGCGAGGGTAAGACGGGCCGGGGAGGAGGAAGCAGACAGAACGCTAAAGAGAGAAGGAGGTTTCCCTCTCTCTTCTCCAGCGTTCCGTCTGCTTCCTCCTCTTCAGCCCGTCCTACCCTCGCCCTTCGTTCTTAGGTTGTTAGGGGGCCTCACGCACGCACCGCCCTCACACCCCTCAAGCACTCATGGCCCTCACGCCACTCACACACTCACCACCTTCACTGCCCTTATACCCCTTATGAACTCACGGCCCTCACGCCACTCACCACCCTCACGCACTCATAGCCCTCACGCACTCACCGCCCTCACGGTCCTCGCAACCCTCACTCATGAATTTTCCAGGTTCAGAAACTCACTCACCCTCACCTCACCTCTGAAGATGAGGGTAAGCGAGGGTGAGTGAGGGCCCTCATGAGTGAGGTTTGCCAAGGTATGTTAGGAATGCAGCGCATTCCTACAAGCAGCGCACCAAATCGTCCATTCTCACACGGCGCTTCGGCGGTAACATCACGCTCCCCCACTGCACAGGCGCGGCGAATACCGCCGGCACGAAAGCACCACGGCTTTCGTGACGATGCATCTGCGTTGCTGTGCTTTTGTGTTTTATTTCTGAGGCGCGTCCGCTTTGCCCTTGAGCGGCCCACCGGCTTCCGTGACGAAGCATCTGCGTTGCTGTGCTTGTGGCCAATGGGACTTTAGGTGCCATTTCCCTCGGCTAATGGGAACTTAGGTACCAGTTTTCACTGCTACAGACGGAATTTAGGTGCCGTTTTTTGCTGCTACAAACAACGCCAGCTTCGCTCCAAGGGCCCGCCCGCCCCCCCCCCCCCCCCCCCCAGTTAATGCTTTCCCATTAATAACTTTGACTCAACCGCTTCCTAGTCTGTTCATGATTGTTTACAAGTTCACCGCTTTTTCATACCTCGGCTATCGGTCAAAGGGCACTCTTTGTTCCCAAACTAAACAGGCGGGGCCGTAGCCTGGCCTCCAAAGGCACCCGTGAAAAGAGGGAGAGGCACGTACGTGCTTCATCTTGAGGAAGAAGGGAACCCCGAAGGTAGAGAAGATCTCTTTCTGGAAGTGGGCGCATGGCACCAGGATCTCGTCGTCCGCCGTCTGCAGGTCTTCCCGGGGGATCTCCTCCACCCGGTAGGTCTTCGAGTTGGCCTGGTTCAGTGTGTCCAGCTGCACGTCCTCCTTGGGCACCGAGAAGATCTTGTAGCTGATCACCTCCATCAGTCTGCAACAGAGTCACAGTCGAGCCATGATCCTGCCAATCAGTCAAGTCAACCAATAGGACAATCATGTCAATCCACAAGGAGCAACCGGGAAGGCCTTGTAGCTGATCGCTTCCAGGAGCCTGCCAATCGCTCAATAGCCAATACTACTAAAGCTCCGGTGCAATGCGGTGAAGCCCAAAGTGGTGCACGCCAGCGAGAGGCAGTGACGGTCGATGTGGGCGGTGCAAGAGCCATGGTACACTGCAGCCAAGGCATGCAGGCACGTGGAAGACGCAATAACCGGATCCCGTCTGCAGTAAGACCCTGGTTCCATCTCATCGCAGTAGTCGCCATCCCACCACTCCGACCATTTTTCTCGAGACTCCTAGCTCCTGCGTCATGCGGAGGTTCAGACTGATTGACGAAGTGGCCGGCGCAAGCCAAAGCTCAGCCAACGTCATGAGACGGCGGAACCAATCAAACAGCATCAAAAGCGCGACATTGTGACATTCGTCATCTTTCTGCGTGCATTCTTTCCTGGGCTAAACTAAACTGTTATAGGTGTTCGAGCCTTCAACTACGCTCCGACTTGAGACGAAACAAAATACACGGTAAGCAAAGACGCTGTGGAATACATATTCATACCATTTCCCTTCCCCGAATATTAAGGTCGACCGATATTAAAATATCCGAATGTTTCCTTTGCACGAGGCCATCTTGGTGCAGGTGTAGAGCGATTCTCGGCAAAAACAGCATTTTGGCACGGGATGTAGTGGACCTCCATTCGTGGCGCAGTTTGGCGCCAACGGTGCAGCGCTTCCGTTACAGAGGTACCCCGTAGAAACCGGAACGCATGCTCTTGAGCGTAATTCAGTTCAAGTTCCAGTCTCTCGGAAAAGGGAGACTTTGCCGACCGGGGATGGCGTGACCCCCTCACCGTAGCCTGCCAGAACCTGTGCCGTCGTCCGAGAGCTCCACCTGCTTGCGTGCCTCATCCAGGAGGTCGCTCACGCAGCCATTCTTGTTCGGGTACAGCACAAGCTCCTTCTGTAAGGATGAGAGAAGACGGCGTCTCACATCTCTTGGCCAGGAATGCAAGCGCGCGTCCGCAAGACGCGACCGCGCAATGCCGACTGCAGAGTCTGCAAGACGCAACCGTAAACGCGGTGCTGTCTCGTTCCGTCACGCACGAGCGACGTTCAAACACTGGCGTCTGTTGGTGTCCGTCCATGCGCGCTAACTGAATGTGTCGAGAAAATAAATGAACAAAATCTTTTAAAAAGCGTGCAGCTCGAGGCCTCGAGAGGGTTCCAACAACTCCGATAATGAAACACGACACTTCATCAATGTCGCCTCTGCACGTTCGTCATTTGGTCGTCGGGTATCAATAAAGGGAGGTAACGGGACGACCTACTAAAACTCCCCAGTGTCCCATCAGACTGTGAAAAATACGCATCTTTCAGCTCTATCGTTCGAGTTGTTCTCTCCTGTAGTGTTTGTGAGCAATTGAAATGCAAGAGCTGCAGACCTATAACTAGGGTTCCGCGTTTTCGGAGTTTGTTTCTCGTGAAATTCGGAGGGCAGTTTTCGGAGTTTATTTTTCGTTTATCTTTGTTAGATCAGCAATTCTCTGAAATTCTGAGTTTACTATACCGTGTTCCCAATTTAAAAAAAAATTCCAAATAAAGAAAGTTTAAGTACCATGACCCGTCGTCTTGAAGGCACCTTGACGAGCCAAAAGGTTAATCCCTTTTGTCAGTGGTTTGATATCTCAAAGGAAACTGAAATTGCATCCCCTCGAGACCGCTGACCTCGAAGCTCTCAAAAAGTTTGTTCGTAAAACATCGTCTCACTTGCCTTTTATTTTGTCGTTGCGGCATCGAAGTTCTAAGCTTTGTTCGGATGAATGCGAATCGACAGAAAATTTACCAGCAAGTGTTAGTCAATTTTTTTTTTTTTTTCCCTTCGAATTATTCGAAAACGTGGAGCACATGGACAAGAGAGGTCGTCACGGCGGGGCTCTTACCAGCCCGGGTGGTGGACAAGGTGCGCTTCTCCGCTTTCGTGAGCAGCTTACACCGCACGACACCGTCCTGCTTCGTTCGTCCCCAAGCTGGCGGTGTGGTTGAAGCTACCAACGTGCTCGTTCGAACCAGCCCATATACGCAGCAGAGATCGGGGTCAGGTAATGGAAGGGAAATGGTTGGTTGGTCCAGCACATGCGTGGCTCCCTTCGCGCTGCCAGCTTGGGGGCGGATGAAGTATGGCACAAACACGACAAGGGTGCTTTCGAATGCGCGGGCCAGCCTTAGCACCCTGGTGTCTGTGCCATGTAGCCTCGATGACGACGTCATCTGCCTTTTAAAAGGACTACTTTGGCATCGATGTGTGAGCACCCCGATGATGTAAGTGTTCACGCGATGTCGTCAATGTGACAGCCGTCGCAGTATTAGGGGATCTGCACGTGCTATGCGTTAAGTGCACCTTTGGGATACACCAATGAGACGAGCAGTTCTTCCGCAGAAGGGATGGCAGCTAAGTTAGAGCTGTTAAGCTCGGGGCAGACTGCACGTGGCCCCCTTTGAGGGGAAAGGAGGGTGAGCTCACCTCTTCCTTGAACTTGCTGTTGACCCAGACGCACTTGAACTGCTTCTTGCTTTCTAGCTCGTTTATCCGTATGCTCAGCTGAAACAGACGACCACCAAGCGTGAGTGAACCGCACACAGCCAACATAGTCAAACCCTCACTATAAAAGTCAATGTACAAAAAAAAAAGTTTCTGGAATCCCTCACTATAACCAAGTCAACAGGACCGCAAAAAAAATGGATAAAAGCAATACAGTATAGACCACTTATAAAGTAACCGCTTATAGTGCAGGACCGGGTATAACGCAGCTTTTTTAAACCACCGGTTCGCCTCCCATAGAACTCCGTGCAATTACATACCGCTTAAAATGCAGGCGCGCGAAGGGAAATACCGGTTATAGTGCGGTTTCTGGAACAGCCCACCGACCGCACCGACCAACCGGCGCAGCGAGCACGCTTCCCTGTGCGACACTAGATAACGGCGCTAGCCCAACGCTAGCCGCAAGCGGCACTAGCGGGGCAAGGAGGTTGCCCAAAGAAGTGGGGAGAAGCGAAGCGAGAGGCTTCAGTTGCCATAGCGACGGAGGGACGCACGCACGTGTAGGTCATGTGGGTGCGTCCCTCCGCTGTGTTGGAAACAACCGCAACGACAGACCAATCTCAAGTTGAGGAGAGGTGTTCGCGCGCGTTGCATGCCGGTCGCGGGCCGGCTTCTTCTATCCGCAAACATGGTGTCGGTTGTGATCGTCGACGTAGACGGCGTGGTGGAAGCTCATCGTTCCGCGTAAAAGCGCTATCCTTGACTGAATTTTCGTTGTGTGTCGCTATGATAACCCAGCACGTACTAGAAGGGAAGATCCACCTACTCGTGCGGCGATGTCGTGGCGGCACTCTCAAGACGGCAGAAACGCCCGTGTCGTCGTGTTTGTTTACTTCGACTACAGTGGTGCTTTCTAAGCATTTGAGCTTTCGAACATCGCCCGGATTTCTTATTTGGAGCATTTCATGCCTGTGCTCAAGTTGAAGGTATTACTGGCATGTATCGTATAAAGGATGCGAATTTTCACGTCTTTTCATCACCGGAGAAAAGTGATTAGGGTTAGCAATCCTGAACGCTCGCAACGTCCGTCCGCAACCCGCGACGCCATTAAAAGGCTGCGCCAGGCAAAAGTCGCTCATTTCTTTCAAAATGTGTGACACACTTGAGAGAAAAGTGTACTAGTCTGGAGAATAAAGACTTTCCTCAAACTAAGCTTTATTTTTCATCTAACATAAAATAAATTGTTTTACAAAGGTAAGTTGTCTCATGGCATGTATTTTGGCGGTACCGCTTATAGTGCGGATTTTCGCGACTCCCGCGACATTCGTTATATGCGGTCTACACTGTAGTTTGAAAAAAGTGATTTTGTTATAAGAAGGGATTACTTCATAAATATTTATTTTATTAACATGGATACCTCAAATGCTCTGGGCAGCATTTCAAAATCACCGCAACTTTTTTAATAATTCGAAGAAAAATTGCACAGCTTCCAATCCTGGAATAGGCACTCGAGGTATACGCACAGTAAAAGCACCGATGTAGCCAGTAAAAATAAGAAACTGGTCTTAATTTACAGAGGCTCTCCTTCATAGTTGATACATGAATAGGCCATAGTAATCAGGGTGTCTAAACGAAATGTATTTTGTTCCGGTTTCAGTTTCGTTCCATAAAAAAAAAATTCCATTCCGGTTCTGCTCCAGAACGAAAAAATTATGGTCTGCAACGGTTTGCGTTTGCATGCAAATAGAATTCAGAACCGAATTAAAGAAGGAAATGAAACATTCACTTTTATCCAAAACTAGGTCATTAAAAAGTCTAGCAAGTAGCACTTATGGCAACGATAGAAAAGAAAAGAAGAATCCGGCTAAAAGACACCGCAAGAAAGAACGGCTCAAGGCACAAAGCCCCGTCTCGGAAGCGGAACATCTTTGAGCGTGCTCGGCGAAACGCGAGACCTCCGTTGCAAAAAAACAAATCTGTGCACCGAAAATGCTTGATCCACACCGATCCGTGTGGACGGCACGACGAGGGCAGTTCCAGCTAAAGTGTACGATTCCGGTCGCACTCCTTTCGTTCTTCCCACAATGTTGATACATTTGTGGTTCGCAGGAGGCGTGAGCCAGCACTTCGAGCAAGCAAGCACGTCACCTTCACTGGGCTCGGCTTCCTCGTCGAACAAGGGTGTGCACCAGACACGGCTTCTTTTCTTTTTTGTTTTATCGAGAAACGCTTTAGGGCAACCTTCGGGTCCTCTGTGGACCCGGAAGATGCCCTCGAAGCGAACTCAGATACTGTACTTCCCCTACAAACCGAAATCCAAAAAGGAAAGATTTTTTCGGTTTCACTCAGGAACAAAATGTTAAATAATGCTTGGATAACGTTTCTGTTGTGCCCAAAGATGACATTCTTTTTCGTTTTATGGTTTCGTTTCCATTCCATTGGTCTGGCAGGCACCAACAGGATGAGAAACGCAAGTGGGTCGCTCGGTCGTCCTGCCTCCGGCATGGGGCAACCGTCGCCTGGCGCGACGGCTGTCCACGCCACCGCACGCCACGCTAGTGACCCTGCCTCCATTTGCGCTGTTTCCGGGTGCTTACAACTCCCCGACGATTCTGGGTTGGTAGACCTCTAGTATGGGTCAGAGGTTCTCAAACCAGACCCCTAGGGACACGAGGATCCCTAGGGAAACAAGGCTTCCCCCAAGGTACCCTCATGCATTTTTCAAGCTTCCAGACGTCCTCAGTCGTCCCTGTGTAAAACGTCTCTGTGGTTCAAGCCCCGTTTTGGCAGATTCCACGCCGGAAAGGCTTCGCTGGGTCCCGTTTGAGGCGGATGCGAATTCCTCGAAATCTAAAAGTTTGAGAGTCCCTGGATTAGAGAATGGGAAGTTTCTTTAACCTCCGAAAGTGAGGGTAGATGCGCTCGAAGTACCGATGAAGAGGGCTCTTCTTTTTAAACCTACGTCGCACTTCCACCACCAAACTAACGTCCAAAAACGGCCTATCGGCCGTTCCCCACGTTAGCTCCCAAAGTCGCGACGTCTCGTTCCCATCAATCATTGCATAAATTTTCTCGTAGAAAACGACCCACAAAACAGATTCTGCGTTAAAAGTGCACAGTAAGGCGGGGGCACCCACCTGCTGGTAATAGATCTTCTTGGGCTGCCTGGGCTTGAAGAATACCAGGAGGTCCTTGAGCGTCCCCTCGTATGTACACCTCAGAGGGTTACCGGGACCCTCTCGGTAACTGAAACGCGCAGACGCCCCCGGTTAACCCACCACCGGCCGCCAAGGCTTCCAGGCCTTTCTGCCCACCAAGCCAAAGGGGAGGGCCAAAAAAGCGTGCAACGGGACTAAACAACAACGCAAAGCGTTGTCACCCTTTTTTTCCTTCTTGTTTTGGTTATTTTTTTTTTTTATTGTAAACAATTTGATTTTTGTGGGCTCAATATTCTGGAAATTTTGGGGTGCGCGAATTTCGGAAACATTTAGCGGGCAAGAAATTTTGCAATTCAGAGCTATGTGCGATATATCTGTGAACCTGGGATGGTATACAGAATTTTTGCATGTATTAATCATTGCTGCACTGACAGCAACTATCCGAAACACCTTCACTGTCGCAGGTAGCGCCACAATCCACGCCGTTAAGGAGATTTCCAATGCAGCACTTTTTGAAAACCGTGAAGCCTTCGAACTGACGGCTTGGCTCGGCCGCTCCTTTCGCAAAAACAACGAAAAGATGACTATCCTCAAAAAAAGGAGAGGGTGGGGAGAGGAAAGTCACTAGGAGAGACCGGGGAACAGGGACTCTGGGGAATCTATCCCCAAGACTTCACGCGCATTGCCGTGAAGCCCCATTGCCCGTCGAAATTTGCATAGAACTCGCGCCCCAAATTTCCGTTCTTGTTATATAAATTTTGATGCGGGTTATATGCGAGATGATACGGTATTCGCGACACCAATTGTCCGGCATACTCTTTTTAGTAGCGAAATTCACAAAAACACTTGATTCTGGCGAAAATAAATAGTTTACAGCAAGCATTTACCGCCTCGTATAATGCCGGTTGAAGCCCTCAAGGAAAGATAAATGAAAACGACGAACTCACCTCTGAACTTTGAAAAATTGTAATAAATAAGGGTCTGTGCCTAGCCGTTGCGCCACCGCCCTGGCGATCTGGAGAGACGGGGGAGAGGAGAGAGGACGTCAGACACGACGAGAAGGTACAGGGCCGAGAAAAAAACTAAAAATTGTGCGGACATCACACGACGTGATGCGAACGGACAGCGTCGGCTAGTGCGACGTTTCGACGATGTTGCGTCGCAATTGACCAAAAATTTTGGCCACGTCGAAGCGCGCAGCGTCTCGCGTAAACAACAGCCGATCGCAAGCAGGACGGCTAGCAACAAAACACATTCTTGTGGACGCGCCGCACAAATCACCCGGTCACACTGGCGTGTTCGTTTGCTCGGCGACGCTTCGCATTCGTGCACAGCACAGCCTCCACGTCGAACGAGTTCCATCCCAACACCCGGGTTGAGACTGCGGGCGCGTTTACGCCGTTAGGCGGCATCCCCTCGCTCCGGCGCACGCTTCGGCCGCCCCGCTGTTGCGCACAAAGGCTCGGGGCGTTGAGGGAACGAGCGACCGAAGGCGAGAAAGAGCGTGTGGCGAGGACGGTAATTGTATGAACCCTCGGCGCAACCGCGATTGGCCCAACGCACTGCGCCTCGACCACTATTGGCGAAAGGGCGAGGGTGCCGCTGCCATACTCGCCCTCTCCCGGTGCCAAGGCCACCCGCGATAAACGCGCACACGCTTTATTCGTCTTCGGCAGCTCGACGCTCACCCGGTACAGCCGATGCTGCAAAAGAAGAGGGGCAGGGACCCCTCACCCACCTGGTCATAGTTCATCTTGAGAGAAAGCTCCATCGTGAAGCCGGGGTCATTGGCAATAGATTTATCACAGAAGGTCACCTCCACCCTGTAGAAGAGGTCTCTGCACAAAAAAAAAAGGGGGGGCACGTCAAAACTTACGCTTGATGAGACAGAGCACGCAAACGGTGCCCAAACAAACGAGCTTAATCGACGCGTTTCGCCCAAGTTGAAGAGAGGCGGGACGGTTCGAGGAACCGAAAGTTGGTGGCACAGCGCGACCCCGATCATGCATTGCCAGTTTACACGAAGTCCCGTGTTTTACGACCACCCAGTTAACCTTTCCGACTACCACACCAATCCTCTCAATCGGAGCGCTTGTATGCTCTTTCCAAGTTTCTCTCAGTATCATAGGTACTGCAGATGCACGTCGCCTGAAGGAAGCTGCAGAATGAGACGAGGTGGGTGCACTACCTGAAGTAGTCCTTGACGGTGGGCAGCTCGTACTCGTCCGCATTGTGGTCCAGCTTCTGAAAGACGATTATGTCTCCGTCCATCAGCTCCTCCAGGACCTTCTCCAGGGGCAGCTCCAGGTCCTCAATGCGGTCCACAATGTTTGGCTTCACCTCCTGAGTGGAGAAGAGACGGCAAGGTTCGCTCCCCTCGCACGTGCGGTGATGCGAACCACACGTCTCGCCTCCGTGACCTTTTTTTTTTTTTTTTTTTTCATTCTTGTTTATACTGTGCTTAGTGTCCTGCCTCGTAGCTACTGCATGTTGTCGTCATCAGATCTACTGTTTTCATTAGTTTTGTTCCCCGCGTGAATTATGCAAAAGTTCCCATGCACTTTATATTTATCCCCGACAAGTTTTCTGGGTCGCATTTTTGTTTGTAGTGTCGTAATTAGCAACATACAGTAAAACCTCGTTATAACAAAATGGGATATAACAAACTAATGGATATAACGAAGCAATCATAATTCCCCTTGCTTGCTAATAGTGGGAAGAAATGGACAGTGGCTATAACAAACTAATGGTTATAACGAAATAATTACGACCGCTCCTTCAACTTTGTTATAACGAGGTTTTACTGTATTGAATTTAAAAATAAAGTATATGTATTCATCGACCCTACATTTTTTCTTAAATGTTTGCCTTTGTTACAATTTTTGTATTTAAACGCGCATTTAGGTTTGTCTATTTTGTGTTTCATCACTTGTGTTGTCCCATTTACTTACCATACCTCTAAACAGCAACAGATTCCCCAACCGGCCCCTCAGTCAAAACGTTTGGAGACCCCTGACATAGCAGGACGAGCGATGCAACGTCATTACATCGGGCTACATGGGGGTCGCTCGGATATAACATACAGGGTGGCGCCGTAAGGACCAACACAGTTGACGCTCCTCGCGAAATTCTAATTCCAAACAAACATTCCTGAAATCGGGCACACTAACATAGTTCCACGAGAGGTTTCACGCCCACATTTCTTTTAGAACTCGGTTATGAGGCGGAAAAATAATAAAAATAAAGCAAAATCGGACCAGACTGTTTGCCGTCTGCACACCGGTTTACGAGCTCGCTCCCAGGTGGCTTGCTGAATGCAAAAACACTAAAAGCCACTTCCAGAGGCTCGCAATAAGCGAGAGTATCGCGATAATTAGTACTTTTAACGAAATACACAGACAATGACAACCCGAAAGCAAGCTAACAAAACCAGTGTGCAGACGACTAGCACTTTGATAAGGCACAGGAAACGTAGAACTGCCATTTCTGCTACATTTTTTTAAATACTTTACAACTTTTCTTTTGAGCTCTGAAAAAAAAAAAAAAAATAGACAAAATCTTTTGCAAAAGTATGTTTGTATAGTCAATTTCAGGTACGTATGTTCGAATTCGAATTTTGGATGGGTATGTGCTTGTCGGAAACCGCAAGCGCAACGAATAGCGGCAAAAAGATTCAAACTGGTTGAGAAAAAAAAATGGACGGTACCTCGTAGAGCACCAGCTCCGTGTCAGGAGGAAACCCCGCCCTCTTGTTGAGCAGCGGCACCAGCTCCTCTGCACGACGCAAAGGGACAAATCCCGGTCCTAGGTCAAGGCTGAAAGCCGCACAACCGGCCCCCCGATGTTGCCCGACAGGGCAGAGATGTCTCTCTCATTGCTATTGCAAAAGGCGCAAACAATTCTATATTCCGGAGTTGTCGAAGAACCCTTTCAACGTCCACCTTCAGTTGGATTTGGATGCGGCTCGCCTTTTTTTTAGTGGGAGTTAGCGCAGGTGTGCGCCACAAAAGTCGCCAGAAAAGTAGTTGTAATTGTAATGCAGATCTTGCAATTACGACTGCCAAAGAGAAACAAAATCTAAAGGAATGTTAGGCCAAGAGTAATAAACTGTGAAAACAAATACGAGAGAAACCGAAGTGAAATTACGAGAACATTAGGCCAAAAGTAATTAACTTTAATAGTAATCTTTATTTTCCCATTGTCCACAAACAGCTCAAAGCCTTCTGTGTGGTGCGCAATAAATATAACGCAACTCTAAAAAACAAAATGTTTCATAGATATCTATTTATGCGAGTAATAGAGCACCGAGATAATAGTGCAACGATAACGAATACACAAAAAAGTACTAAATTTAAGTTACTCAATTACGGTATTCGAGTTACCACACCTAAAATACACGAGCAAATAATCAGGTACCCAATTACAGTCCAACTAATTTGATACCAGCTCAGTTATCGTGACGGAATCGCAGCAACTGAGCTACACGGTCCATCGGCCAAGTACCCAATTCGTTGAGCACCAATTCAGTCACAATTAATGAATCACTGCCCAAGTGCCTAATTCAAAACAGGTGCCCAACACCAAAAAATAAAAAAAATAAAGAAAAGAGCCGCCCAAAGACGAAAGGAATCGGAGGTCACTCACTGGCCTTGACGGTGATGGGCATGTAGGTGTGGCCGCAGTAGGCGATCTGTTTCAGCCTCGGATCGTACATCTTGAAGAAGAGCAGCACGTCCGCTGCAGGAGGGGGACAAAGAGGACGCCCAGAGGTCAAAAGGACTGCCCCACCCTCGCCCGGCATTCCTGGGCCGCGCTCCTACTCCTTACACCGACTTTCCATAGGCCCCAAGGAGTCGTCACGCGCTCCTCATGCCGACGTCAAACCGACGTGCACGTGACAGACGCGACTGTGCCCAATCGAAGCTGACGTTACGCAAAGTCAAAGCTTTGGAAACGTACTCCGGGTCACAGGAGAACTTGCACGACGGGGAGAGCGTTCGAAAGCTACGAGCTCGTCGCCCCCATCCTTCACTCTGAACAGTCTACACGGTGCCACTTGCCCACAATGCCAGAGGCCGACGCTCGCTTTTATTATCGGTAGCGCTCGTAATGATTCTCTCTCCTTCCTAAGCTGTCGTGGCCCTCGTCCCGCATCTCAAGGTTGGTTTGCGAATTTGCGTTTGAGAATGTGCTCGAGAGCGTTGCATTCCCTCGTTACCGCTTACGATGAGCTAATACACTGGCACCCTCGACGAGGCAGCTCTGGACCACCTACCCACCGCACAGAACTTTTGAATAAAAGCGCCGAAAGCAAAGCTGCTGCATTTTATGTTCCGGCAGCAAACTTCCGATCAAACAAGATGGACAATTCTCTACGTAGCACTGCTTCTCGCAAAGTTTGCAAAATATTTCTAACTCTGTCACCTTGACAATTATGACGTCGACAGGCTCGGAAGGCTTGCCAAAACGGAGCAACTGGAAGTCTCTTGGGAAGCAAGAGACAATTATGTTTATGAACACAAAAAGTGGTTTATATATACATTCTTATGTTTTTCTACAAATAATTTTTTGTCGGAGGGCTCTAAATAATCTGCAAACGTTACAAGCGACCACTTCTCATAGATGTCGCCATAGAATTAATCTTCCAAATACTGCAAAACCTTCGGTTTAGTTATGTTCAAACAGACCTTTTGCTAAATTACCCTAGCATTAAAAAGGGTGCCAGGAACGTAGGTACACACGCTGGTGCCTTCAGCTGTAACTGTTTGAAAGCAAAAATCCAAATGGCACTTTCCACGCGCGTTTCACGAACGTTTTATTTTGGTTATCTACTCTAAATCTTTTGCATAAGGAAGGCGAGCACGGGCGGCGCATGCACCTACATTCCCAGCATTCTCTTTGATGCTTGGGTAATTTAGCAAAAGGTCTATTGGAAGTGTTCCAGGACAAAAAAAATGCAACACACTCAAGAACACTAGAACACAAATGTACGAAAAAGCCCTTAGTCACTACTTCTCGCGCGCTCATTACACGCCTGCCCAAGTAACGAATGCTACCTGCTCGACGAACACGCCCTGCCCCATTCTGCACTCACTCTCTTTGTCGAACTCCGGCAACCGGTCCATTGGCTGGTCCGGCACGATCGTCTCCAGGAAGATCGTCCAGGGGTTGGCATTCTCGGACAGGTCAATCACCTGCGCAAGCACGAGACGCCACCCGGAGACCTCAGTCTGGCCGGCATCTATGTTTCGGTCAGCACTGGCTGGGCACTTTCCCAGGCACCGGGAACAAAAAGGTCGTAAGAGCCGAATGATCCACCGCAGGGCTTCTCAAATGCCTCAATCATGAGTAACGCCTACTTCTCTATTGCTAGCTGGTTTTGGTAAAGGCAATACTAAGAGTGCTGTCGGCTGCTGATTGGACGTGGCTTTACAGCTCGCGCGTAATCGAATAATGATATCTTTTTTTACCGGTTTGCGGGTCCGCAATCAAGCAATATTTTGGTGAGGACGCCTCACCAAGGTACAAACAGCGAGGCGAAATCTCGCGGCCTTTGGTGCGCTTGCCCCTAGCACTCCCTCGCCCACCGGTTGATGTCGGCTCGCATACGGCAGCAGAATAAGTTGAAATTTGGAAACTAAGCGCGGATCGTCAATGGCTTCCGACGTGGAACGGCGGACGATCACGATTTTAACCTGCGTCCGATCTCACTTTGCCACGGCGCTCAGTTTGTAGCGGACAATCAATCCTTTTTCCCACTGGTTAGCAGACGACGTACGTCGGTTTCTCGCTTCGTTTCCGTCTGCGAATGACGCTCCGTAGCAGACAAACCGCATTCTTTGCTCCTGGTAGCAGACAAACCGTTTACGAACGCCACCTTCGCTCGCTCCACAAGGGGTCAATTTGATCTCGCTCTTGCAGTAACCAAAATTGGACCCTCGGGCAGGTTTGCTGGTGAATGAGGGCACCTCTCCCGACGGGCCGTAAGAGGGGTTTTCTGGTCGCATGACTGGCTTCGTGGAAACAAGGTACCCACCGACTATCTTCCCACAAGTCAAGACTGGCATAGCTTCCCCAGCACTGCTACGAGAGCATGTCGCTTCGTCCTGGGCCTCATTCACACACATTCTTCTACATAGGAGACACCGAACAAACTGAAGAGCTTGCACATGTAGCTTTGACAGCTTTATTTAGAGCACAGTGAAAGCTACACGAGCCTCAACTATGCAGCGCAAAATAGTAGACGCCGAAACAAGCAAATTGCTGCTGTAGGTCCGTCCTCGCTTCAATTACTAAACCCTAACCCGTGCACAGCAAAAGGGTGAGAGGCTCGAAATGTAGATGAAAATGACCGCATTTGCATGCTTTGGGATGGGCACGTGTAAACTTGTTTCCGGGGAAGTTTGTGTTTGGCGAGAATGAAAGAAAACGACGGGCAAAGTTAGTTCTTCTCGGCGGGATTGGCTGAAACGCTAGGTACTTCGTGCCCCCCGAGCCTGTCATGTTACCGAGAAACCACTCTTGCGGTTATTTTAGCGGTCGGGAGAGCTAGCCGTATTGATCAGCAAACGGGTCCTGGTCTCAGTATTGATGCAATGGAGCAGGGCAGAGTCCTACACACCTTGTAGACGGTAATGCACATACTAGAAGCATTCAGCCCGTGGTTAGGCATTGACTGGTGGCCAAGATCTACTAAAATCGTGCTTAACCTTCTCTTAACGAGCGTTGCCTCAAGGCCACAAACCAGGTAATCATCTGTTTCTTCTTCAATAGCTTTGGTTTTATCTTATTTCTTTTATCTAGTAGTTTCGCCAGAGTTTTCAAGATTGAAACTACAGTGCCATCCATTGATCATGAGCGCAAATGGTCGACGAGAAAAACGAAGCTTGGTGGCGACAAAAAACGGCATTTCCCTCCATTTTGGACGAAAAATATGGGTGCATTTTCTATTTCCACTGCTATTTTGCAGCCGGAGACCGTTTAACTTGAGGTTATGGAGTGCGCAGCAACTATTAAAATTTTATATTAATCCATTGAGACCACGCAAGAGAGCCTACCTTCATACTCTTGCCTTCTGTTACCCACAGGCAACAAAGATTCAACTTGCAAGGGTACTTTATGATACCTATTTGTTTTTTTTATTTCAGCTTCATTCTTTTGTTTGAACCTGTCAAACACGAATATCTAAGAAATAAAAGATTGGAGTGGGAAAACGCTTCCTTTATGGGACAGGGGCGGCCGAGGAAACCCGATGGCTCGAGGAGCCCCACGGGGGTGCTCCGGGGAACCCCAGGAATCCTAGGTACACGGCTTGACAACTTGTGATCCACCAGACTGTTTCGCATTTGCTTTTGTTCCAATGATCCACTGCACGCACGGCAACTTTCTTCAGTAAATACAGCACGCGCAAAAAATCAACGGCACCGACTGGACAGTGCATAAAAATCTGCACAATGTCGCAGTGCGTCCCGCAACACGGACGTCGTGGTGCCACGCGACGTTACAGTCATGTGGCATCGTGTCACGCGACACGATGCCACACGACTCGTGAAGTCACGCGACTCGTGGAATCGCACAACGACAGTGTCACGCGATGCGATAGTTTTGCGCGACACTGTAATACTGCCCAATGTCACGAGGTTATGTGACTGGCCCCATAAGTGCTACGCATTCAAGATGAACCAAACGGCCCCTGACCGTCTTGTTGAGGTCTGCGTCCAGGTCCACGGCGGCCGGCCGGAAGGTTTGGTTGGAGCGGTAGGTGATGGACCAGGGCCGGATGGCGTGCAGGGGGAAGCGCATCTGGTCCGCAATCAGGTCCAGCAGGTCCCGCAGGGTGGCTTGCTTCTTTACCTTGAAGGAGCGGTAAGAGGCCTTCTCCGGGTCGTACAGGTCGTTGCCCTGGTGGCCCGCAAAGCTATCCTCCGTCAGCACCTGCACGCTCATGTACAGGTGCGCCTCGTTGCGCTCCTTGCGCCGCAGGGCCTCCTGGCGCCTGCAAGGACACCCACCCGTCGGGATAAGTCAAGCTCCCTTTTTTTAGGGGGCAACAGATCACGTCGAAAGGATTTGCGACTTCTCATTCTTACGTCGTTTATCTTGCCAAAGTAGAAAACGTGTTTAATCCTTTTGAAATATGCGATTCCACCGCATAATAGCCAAGCAAAAATCGGGACTAATCTGCGACTCACAGCCGAGAGTGGTGGCCGTAAGAACTATGGCGTGACGTCTAAAGGCTCCCTCGTCACACCTTGGCAAGACGTGCCATTATCTACTCAATCGAAGGCCATCATCTAAATATTTTTGTTTCAACAGGAGTAAATACGCCAAAAGCCTCGAACCATCGACAAAATTTTAGCGTGGCAAGTTTTAGAGGTGCTATCTGCCTGCTCGCAATGGAACTGGCTGCACCCTCCCAAGGCATTCGTGTCCAGGGCTTGAAACGTAGCACCGCGATCGTCCGCTATAGCTCCCAGACATCGTTCGTGATGCTGGTATTGGAGGCATCACAAACTGCCTTGTATCGTCACTGTCTAGCGGAGCTCGGGAGAAGCCACGCTATACGCTGCTTCCGCTGCGCAAACGAGCGTTTGGAAGGGCCGGAGGAGAGCTTCGCGTGCAGAGAGCATCGGAGGCCACAAAATCGCTTTCCACCGCGGGGCGCGTCCAATGTCCCACCGTTTCCGTCACTTCTGTACGTACGGGCCGGAGACGCTTGGGGAGATAGCGTGGCAGGCGCAGCGGAAAGGTTCTGGGCGTCCAAGGAGGCTGGACGGCCAACCTTGATTACGCTTGTCCCTTTGGCACGGGGGACGAGCGTAAATTTTCGATCGAAGGATGGAAGCCGGCAGAGCCCGCAAGTACATGGAGGAACGCGCCCCGTTTCCCCGTTGAAACTTTCCGAAAATTGCCTAAAACTTCCGAGCAATCTACAACCATTGCAGACAAGGCGAGGAATTGCATGCTTAAATTATTATTATCTTTTTTTATATTATTAGCGGCAAGCTTTACTCGAGCCCAAACATATACATTCACCCCGCAAGTATGAAAAAGTCAGGCAGATTGAACCATTCCAAAACTTCAAAGTTTCAATACCAGTTGAACGGACACCTTCGAAGAAACAGTTCTTGCAAGAACGATCGAGGGCCAGAACTTGCTGCCACAAAATTGTGAACGTAAACTGCTTCACACTTCGAAAAAATCCGTCACTCAGCTCTTCACCTAATAAAGTCACAAACTTTCACTGCACATTAATGCACGTTCATTGTGAACTGTTCCCTGCACTGTCGCATGTATGTTTGTCCCTTACACCCTCCCTGTAATGGCACTCAAGAGAGGGCCCTGACAGTATCTTCACATAAATAAATAAATTATTGAACAAAAATCAAAGAACAGCAGGCCCCAAAATTTAGCATCTGGTCCACACCGCTATCACCTCTTTTGGGCAAAGATAGAGCATTTGGCAACGCATCACTCACTCTTGCGTAGAAAAAAAAAAAAAGCACTGGGGACACGTTACGCATATATGTTTGAGTGTTTTACCCTGAAGGCCTCCAAGCTGTCGGAAAGTAAATGTTTATTGATTGATCGTAAACAGCATCTGGCCAGACTCACTTTTCCTCCTGAAGCCTCTCGACCAGCTGCTCGGGGATGTCGTTTTCCGTCACCGACTGCAGGACCTCGTCTGGTGGGGCGACACAAGCAGACGACGTTAGCAAACAGATGGTCCAGCCACACCTCCCACGTCACCCATCCCCAGCTGACGCCCGATGTACATACTGCAATTTTACTACGGGGTGGAGGCTGTGGTGCTTATTGTTGCAGCCAGGGTGTCGGGAAGAAAACAAAAACAATACCAAAAAACGAAAAAGAGTGATATTTCTGGGTGGAACAAAAACGCAATTGAAACATCACTTAATAGTTAGTTCCAGAGTGAAATTACAACATTTTCTTATCAGTTTTCAGTTTGAGGGGAAAGTTCAGGTCTTTCAGCATCTCCTGGTCCCCAGGGAAACTATAAGAGGCACTCTGAGTGTTTCTTAAGAAAAAAAGAAGCCAAAGCTTGTGCGAACCCTCATTTGACAGAAAGCTAAGCCCACAGGACATGGCACGCTTGCTCGAAATGTAGTAAAAAGCCGCGCCTCCCGACAGCTATGAATGTATCGACATTTTGGGAGGAACGGAAGAAAGGCCAATTGGAAAAAGTTTATTTCATACATATCATCACGTGTAGACCCTAACCTAAAGGTAGGGATTCCCCATTGCAGCACCTCCACTTTTAAGGCCTCTTTTCTACCTGCTTGCTTGGCGATCGCGTTGCACGTCACGGGTAGGGACTGATTGCACACTTTTGCGGCGTACGTTGCAAGCCTGAATTCCAACTCCGGAACCAAAACCTACGGAAGCCTCTTCGTTTGCTGTCACAGTTTAAGATCCCGCGCCGTTGCAGACTCCACTGGAGCATCACCCGCTCTGACGGGTCGAACTTGCGTCCAACAGCGCAGTTGTTGGTTGCTTCTGAGTGAAGAATGGCCATAAACGAGCACCGAAAATTAGGGGTGTGCGAATACCGAATAGTAGTTTTCGAATCGAATATCGAATCGAGAAAAAAAAGCCGAATATTGAATTGAATATCTAGTAGTGATTTTATTTGTAGGAATTTTTCAAAGTGTGATGCGAATGAGATTATTGTATGTGCAGAGTATGCGCTTGTTGCAGAATATGCGTCTTGTACAAAACAAGAGCCAAAATCTAAAAAAGTTCTGGTGAGAAAAAAAAAAAAGCAGTTGCTATTGGACGTTGGGCACCAAAGATCCCATTTTATGGTGCAAACATAATCTATCTACCCTAAACGTCACAGAAAGCCAAAGTTACAGCCACGCGTGCCTTTTTTTTCTCTTTAAAAGCATAACCTAACGCCACAACGTTTTTAAACATATTTATATATCTCAGAAAAGGGGCATTTTGCAATAGTTGGTCTCCATTTTAAAAAAAAAAGGGCACCCGGGATTTGATTTTACATAAATTAACAGGTAGGTGTTAAATCTGAGTAAACAGGCTTAAACAGTATAATCTGAACTAAGAAAAAAAACAAACATGGTTAAGGTGAAGCAAGTTACCGTCCAACTGCCGCTATGCATCCATTTTTCCGTCTATCTATCCTGTTTTAGAGAGCCTCGATTTAAAAGAGGGAGCAACCGAAACTGAAATCACGCAGACTGCTCCAGTGCAGATTGATGGTGAGTGCACATGTGTTGTCGCGTGGAAAGAAGGCGAGCAAACAGAACAGCAACGATGCCTGCCCTACCTGCCCGATCCCAATCGACGCTTTCGTCTTTTCGTCACCTTCTCGCAGTTTGTAATTCAAACGCAGCTATCGAACTGTTGGAAACCCTCTCAAATCTAGGCACACTATTTTTACGTTCCGTTTCGTTCCGAATCAGAATTTACGGTTCCAAAAACGATCACTCGGCTGGTTTCATCGGCGTGGTAACGTGGTTTTCTTTCTGTGATCGTCCAGTCGCCGATTTCTGAGAGTGCGGCAAGTGTGTTCTACATCGGCGCTTTAATTTGAAACGAGGGGCTTTACTCGTGAAAAGAATTAGCCCTGGCGCGGAATTCCGGCCTCCCAACAATTCCTCTCTGGAAGCGGCGCAAACGGGATGTTTCGGTTGTGATTCAAGGGTAGATTCTGTCATGATTGTGAGGAAATCTGCGTGCTATAAAGTTTGTGGCATTCATTACTTTTCTTTTTCCCAACGTGTGCATTAGATTTTTGTGGAATGGTAGGACCAAGAGATGTTTCTGGCATGGTCTGTCTAACATCACGGCACTTACATCGGGAGAAAAAATGGCTTTTTTGTTTGCTCCGCGCGGACCGCGTGTCTTTGGCAGAATATATTGAATATTCGAGTAACCGAATACTAGGAATTCGATTTGCGAATAGAATTTTTCGGGATCTTTCTATTCAATTCGAATTCGTATATTCGAGTATTCGCACACCCCTACCGAAAACCTAAACTGCCCGGATCACGCGTGTCAATACAAAAAAAAAAGAACAATGTAGTTAGCGCTCCAGCATGATCTTGTCACTCAATCAAACGATGTGCTACCGTGAATTGTGCGGAAAACTGCGAAGAGAAGCCGTGGGGTGAATGAGCCATGAGGCTGTTCCAGCGGCCTCCGGAGTGGCTCTTACAAGAAGTGCCGCCACCCCCCGGGAGTAGGGCGCGCCGTGCGCTGCTCACCGCCGTATATTCGGGTTAATTTGCGAATCGCTATCAATAATACTCGTTCGCGCAAATAAAAAAATAATTAATTTGTAAAATGAGCACAATGAATAGTGCAATGCACAGCCGGCTGAACTTGTAACAAGTTGAGCAGTTCATGATATCGCGATTGCAGTGATGTGATTGGCCTAAGCCATTTTGGAGCACCTTTTGGAGCAGCCCAAACAGTGTTTTGGAGCAGCAAAATTGGCTTTTGGAGCAGCCAAGACGCTGTCTTGGAGCAGCAAAATTGGCTTATGGAGCAGATATTCTTAGAAAAATATATAAAAAAAATAATATTTGTTTTCAGTGCTGGACAAGCGGAGGGCACTTTGTGTTGTGTTGTGACGGAACTCGCTGCTTGTGTTTTACTGCTGAGACATCCCTCAAGTGTACAGTGCTGTAAACGTTGACAAGCAATTAAAAAAAAAAAAAAAAACTTGTTTTTGTTTTATTGGTTCTCGCCGTGCCAGATTTTCGTAAAAAGTAAGCAAATGTAAAACAATAGATTGCAAGCGTCCCGGCTGGGGCTTCTGTCCTGCAATCAGTAGGCTTGCAGTTGTACGTGCTTCGTCACGCGAGCAGAGACAACGGCTGTTCAATCTAAACCGAAACAATGCCACTCCGCTCCGTCGCCAACTGGTTCCCAAAATGGTATGCAAAAAGTAATTGTCCAGCATACGACAGAAAACAATCCAGCGGCGCGTGCTTGCCAGGCCGGCAGGCAAGGTACAAACTGAACACGCAGAAAAAAAAATTTGAGCGCATCGATGCATGACACGGCGAGCCAGCCTCAAAACGTTCTTGGAGCGCTTTGTGCAACGACTGAACTCGAGACAAACAAGCGCGATTTGCGGGTTCAGCGTGCAGACATCGCCTTCTTTGCTTTAGCTCACTTCTCTTCACCATCTTCCTTTCACAACAGATTTTCCACGTTCCAAAGTCCCTCTCAAAAAAAAAAAAAAAAAAGAAAAAGCCGAGAGAAACTTAGGTTATCCATACTTCGACACAGCAGTCTGAGTTAAAGAGCGACGACCAGTTCGCGCTTTCCCCTTTTCGCCCGCTTCCCCCCTCTCCCTCCTACCCTTTCCACCCACGCCCGCCCCTCTTGGCCCCCTCTTTCCATCCTTCGCTTCCCTCGCCCGAAAGCGTGGAGAGGCGGGTCTTCTGCCTTGCAGAATCTCGAGTCTGGTCGTCGGCCTTTAAAGAAAATATTTTGTAGTAGCATATGATTTAAACAAGGGCAGGAATGTCGATGAACTAATTTAGAAAGCGCCACATCTGCAGCAACGTGGGGACGGCAAAACCCGACGTCGCGCAACCACAATGCTTTGTGAGCTGAAGCGCGTGAGCGCTTCAGCTCACAAAGTAACTGCCGCTGCGCAAAAACGTGGTTTTGTTTCATAGCATGACGGCATGGCTGGCACCCGGCACACTAGCGTCGGTGCGTCACACACGCCCCCGTCTATCATTAAAAATATCATTGAAAAGAAATGAGACGAAATTCCCCAAACGACAAGAGCGCGAAACGCGAGACGGCGGAAAAAACCATGCAAGGCCGGATGGACGATTGATGCAGGGTACTTTGTGTCGGGCGGCCGCTTGCGCCACCTAGCTCGAGCATGCTCAATTACGGTTCTCACTTCAGTTTCGTTTTTGAAAGGTGGCCGAAATTTGTCCTTTGGCGCAGGCTTGGCGCAAATTACCCATATTTTCGCCAAATGTAGCAGGATGTAGCAGGGTTAGCCCCTTGGCGCAGTTTGGCGCAATTGGCGCAGCAATCACATCACTGCGATTGTTTCGTTTTTGCCGGTAGTGGAATGCTTTGGTTCAATTATAAGTCGACCCCCCCCCCCCCCCCCCTTCAGATTTTCAAAAAAATTAAAAAAGGGTTGACCTACATTCGTGTAAATACGGTACGCTTGAGCATGTGCTGCAATCGCTCGTGACAGTTTACCACGGGGGAACTTGCTGGCGCTACCTGTCAGGTAACCCTAGAACTGGCGCAAAAATGGCACTTGAACGCTTCTGGTCCTGAACCAGATGGCGGTTTTCGCGGTATTTTCGAGATCACATCTACGCCTTACCCATGAGTGTACACGTGACAAACGCGCTCGCCGCGGTTTCTCTCATGTTTGCCACACCAGATACTTATCGCACCGTAGAACACGAATTTGCCCTGTCCGTAGTTTGTAATGTCAGCCCCCCCTGTCACATATTTTTTTTTTTTAAATTTTGCAGTTGCATTTTTAAACATGGCCCACCCCATATTTTTTAGTTTATCTCTTCATTTCAGGTGGCCATTCTCTCAAAACTTTACAGTACATGGCAGGTGGCACCCATGTGTTACATCTGTCAAAAGTAGCAATTGCAATGCAGTACAGCACACTCAAATGCAAATCTGCGAAGGAGCCTCATAGCCCAAGCATTAAAAAAAAAAAAACTAATTCAAACTAAAAAAAAAAAAAAAACGCTTGGTTTAGACATTGTGCTAAACGCAACGAAGCTGCGACGTCACTTGGCGAGAATTTTCATGGGCAGCAATCTCTCTATTGAATTGATGTGCAACGCGACACGTGGCAAAGGAGTTGTGGATGCGTAAAGAACTCCCGTTCCGCATCCTCCTTCTCCTTCTTTCGTGGCATTATGCAATGTGCCCTCCAGGAAAAATATCTGTAATGCCGTCGCGCGTACAACATGACCATGAAATTACCTCTGCACCTACCCGATTATCCCACTATTACACGGTGGATATCCTACTTTGCAGCCTGCATTCCTACACAGCAGAGGGGGAGGGAGGAGAGTGATAGTGCACTGTTTACACCCTCCCCTCCCCCCCCTCCCCCCTCCCCCCCCCCCCCCACCTCTTGCGTGGCATTAAGCCAGCGATCCTCAAAAAGAGATTTGAGCCCATTGTCTGTGAAGCCTAACAATGGAAATTTTTTTTTCTTTTTTCGTTGATGATTTTACAAGGCCAAGCCATGCGTGTCGAGTGAGTAGGACCAATCATTCTCTGTCTCAAAGCTTTAAAGTTGGTTTGCACGCGTTCAGTTTCTATCATTTACCCTTCTTGCGTCACGATCATCCACATCCCCCTCTCCACTGCCCAAAACATCAGATTACCATTACGCTGCGCCAGTGAGATTTTGACATCAAACCGACCCCTGCGCTCTGCTGTGGACACTCTCTCCCGCAGCCTCGTACAACGGCACAACCGACACGAGCGAGCGAGGCCCAAGGAGGGTTCCCACCGTCCGGGCACCCCCTTGAGAGTGGAAACGAGGGCCGAGCACTCACTGATGGCGCTGTCCCTGATGTACACCAGCATGTAGGCATTGGTGCAGTGGCGGCTGACGGCCACGTCGTCCTCCGTGCCCCCGAAGTTGTGGTCGATGGCCTCCTGCTTGGTGCAACGCGAGACCACGTCGTCGTCGAACTTGCACCAGCGTCCGTCCCCCCGGGGGTTGATGAACACCACGTAGTGGCCCCCGTGGTTGTCCCCGGAGTGCACCAGCACCGCGTGCAGGGTGTACGTCGCCGGGCTCGGGCCCTGGGGGAACATAGAGGGCGCCTCGGTCGGCAACGCGTTGGAAAACCGCTGCGACGACGTCTCTCCCGCAAAACGGAAATGTCGCGTCTCGTCGGCCGTTGTATCGCAAAACTACAGGGCCAGTGTGCTGTAAAACTAAGTTACGGCACCCCATCTATAGCCATCTGGCCACCATATCGTAAAACCATAGCCAACCAGTCCTTGTACCGTAAAAAGGAATCGCGGCATCTCATCGGCTGTTGTACCGCACAGCAGGTCGCCGACATCAAGTTCATAGCTATTACGCCATTACACCCTTTACCTTTCACTTCTTGCAAAGGTGTCATTATTACACCCTTTGACCTTCTTGCAGAGGTGTAAATGTTACACCCTTTCACCATCTCGTGCAGGTGTAACTACTATAGCCTTTCACCTTGTGCAGGTGTACCAACTACACCCTCTCGTGGAGGTGTCACTGCTACACCCTCTGACCCTCTAGTGGAAGTGCAACTGCTACACCATCTCACCTTCTCGTGGAGAAAGTCTGAGAGGTTGAGCTTCTCGGGAAACTCAAAGCGGTCGTTGAGCTTGACGTTGTTGTCCGTGAGGGGGTCGTACTGGAAGCGCAGCAGGTGCAGGTGCACCACGGGGGGCAGGCAGGCGAAAATGATGCCTTTCTCCGCCTCCTGCAGCCCGTACTCCCCTGCGTCGTACTTGTTCTCCCCGTCCAGGCTCTCCGTGGCGCAGTAGTCCTGCACGAGGGCGTAGCTCAGCGAAAGGGGTCACCAAAGTGAAGAAACGCACGCGGGGACGACGCAGAAGACACGGCCATGTTCTTCTGCTGTGCACTCTGCTCATTTTTGACTTTACTCGTTTTCGCGTCAAGTACCATAAAACAATTGCGGTGGCTTAGTTAGACTATGCCAGGATATACGTAGCGAGAGCTTATGTGCACAAAATGAGAGGCGTTATCAAGCGGCTCCGGTGCAGCGTCAGACTTGGCTACTGCGCAATGGAGGCGCACAGCTGGGCACACGGCGGCACCAATGTGTCTGCCGCAGCTATGACGTTACTCTTCTGGAATGCGCAAACCGGCGAGGCGGGCGCGGCGGCGGCTCCGGCGCGCCAGCTGTGCACCGTGTGACGTCACTGCTCCTCGCGCATGCGCAGCATGGAGCACGGCTCATTATGCGAGCCACGCGAAACTGCCCAACCTCGGCCAGTGTAGCTCACGCTACCAAAAGGAATTCAGACACCTTGCAGAGTATTACTAATTTTTCCCTTTACGTGGACAGTTAAGATATATGTGGGTGCATTTTAGAGTACACACACGTTATCTCACTCAGACGTGCAAATTTCGAACACTAAAAGCACCACCCCTTCCCCCCGACAACCAGATCTTGTGACAACTACTTTGCGTGGCATATGAACAACACACAAGCCGGAACGTCAAGCCAAAACGGGAGGACCTGCCTGGCACACTTTGACGTCGTCAGGGGGTCGTGGAGGCTGACTCTTAGCGGTTATTCACTTAGCTTTCTTTAAGTCGTCAGATTTTCGGTGTCCGAGTGGTCGTAAAACTTGCATTTCCCGGATTCTGTCACTTCTGTTAATGAATGTGCACACCTCAATTTTCCTGCCACTTCGGAAACATTTCGTGCACTACGCTGTCACGGAATGCGACCACCGAAGAGAGCGAGGGCAGCCCCAAACGCGTAACTCTTGATCGGTAGTTTTTTCTCCGCAAAACATACCAGATTACGCATTAGAAATATTTTTAACGGGCCCTCGTATGTACCGCATGTATTTTCCAGAGTTCATTTGTAAGAGAAATCGGGGGTTGTTTTTTCAAGTATCGGTGTTTTTCGGTGGTGGCCTCTTTCGAATGAATGCCAAAGACAGTGATTAGCGGTGAAAAAAATGTTGCGCAAAGCCAAGTTCCAGTTTAAGAGGGGAGGGTTTCAATAAACAAACAGTTCCCAGCCAGAGCAAGATATTCTAAAATCGGTACTTTTCCTTTCAGTTCAAAAGAAACATGAGCTCAGAATTCTAAATTCTCAGGAAAAAAACAACTTTTTATCAAAAATGATGGGCTCATGTTTACCAACTTCCCCCTCCCCTCCTCCTCTCCCCCCCCCCCCCCCACACACACACACACCAAAGGCCTCAAAAAATTTCATTTAGTTACATGCAGGATTTATCTAGCAAAAAATTGTTTTCTTGCGCCATAGTCAGCAGGGAGCAAGTATTTATGTTTACTTATTTTGGGGCTGCTCCGTACATAGCCAGAATATCTTGCCCTCATTGGAAGCCTCCTTTACCCTAGACTTGGCCTGTACAAGCTTTTCAAGTTTAAAAGTATCATCCAAACAAAAAATATTTTAGAAAAACTCGGTATGAGCAATTTCATTGGCCGAGATCCGAAACAGGGCTCACGACTGGTCCTGCCCTGGGACGTGATATTGTGCTCTCTCCAGTGATGCCCTTTGGCAAAATCTTCCACTTCAGATCATATTGCTGCTTTGGCACCCTTCCGGAGAACCATTTGTCTCTTAGTTCTCGGCAGCTTATCTGTCAAGGAATGCCCATTACCAAAGTTAGATAGCCTACAAACGACTCAAGCCGGTAGCTACGTATTGCCAGGGGAACAACAAAGTCTCAAAGAGGAAGGTGCTAACAATGCTCCAGATAAATTTTGCATGCCTAAAACTCACTTAAAAAAAATTTATTTTTGTTTCACTTTTAGACAGAAAATGTGGTTGAGGAAATGTGTCATTTGACGTTTTGAAAGCGTGAAGACTTCATTCAGTGGCGTCCTGAACTGAAATTTTCCGAGGAACGAGTTAAGATACTCAAAATCTGAACAAGCTGACTCCTTCGTGATAAAAGCTGAATATTTTAAAACATAAAAGTTAGTGGATAATATTTTGATCTTTTTGGGTGCTAATATTTTTTTCTAGAATTGCATTTTCGACAATTGATTTTGGCCCTAACTCGCACTACCTGTATCCTACTTAACATTATGTCATACATTTTCTGGATTGCGATTATTATTGTTCTTTGTTACATTTTCTAATAAAGTCTTTATTTTTTTCTTCTTGATCTTAAGTATGTTGTAGCATTGAACTATAGGACTGAAACTTGAAATGTCATCTTTCCTATTTGGGTTCAGGTCACCCTGAAAGACGAAATAAACCTGGGCGAACAGTTCAGAGGTTGACCCTTCCCAGGCAATATTTAAAACCTGAAAGTCTCTCATAGATCCCATTTTAGTTAAAGATGGTGGCAAACGCCTCACCTGGAAGGACTCGTGGATGTTCTTCTTGCCCTTGACATTGAGCTGGATGTCGTAGAAGGGCTCCATGCGCCTGGAGGTGTACTCCACGTGCTTGCACTTGATGAACGAGATCATCTTGCCCTCAAAGAGCCGTGGGATGGTGCCCTCCACGCAGGTGCCCTTCATCTTGCTCTCCATGTTGTCCAGCAGCTGGTCAAGAATGCAGAGTCACCACAACCCCACAACAAGCGAGTCATTTGAACGTGGTTAACCTCCTAGAGGCTGCTGTGCAAGATCCTTCAGCTCCGTCTTGTTCTTAACAACTATAATCGCACTGCAAGTGTCCCTACCATGAAATCTAATCTATGACTGCCAAGCCTTGCCTTGCGTCGCAGGGTGGTAGCTTGCTTCAGTCATAAAATATTCCATTATAACCCATCACGCAGTCAACGACTTTTCGCAAGACCTTTCTATGTTTCACCCTGTCTTGTTCATTCTTATAAAGTAGGCATACCTGCATATAATGCTTTTCAACGCATTCCATCACTCATTCACTCCCGAAACATGATTAGATTGAAACCGCCTTCCCACCTCCATTGCCAAAATTCAGACCAATCATCTGCTCAGAACTGCTCTTACTAATCTATTGTTCTGTGCTGTAACCATATCTACTTTTTTCCCTTATAATTGCTTCTTTGATTGTACTTTATTTTATTTCCACCCCACTCGCCACTGTACTGCCGTCGGCCCCGACAGTATTGAAATAAATAAATAAAAAGTGAGGGGTCTCAAAGTTTTAAGTCGCTAAGAAGTTGCGTAAAAAGTCATATACATCTCTTGTAAAGTGCAAACGCAAAAATTCATGTTTAATAGACCTCGTACGGGACGTAAAAAATCAAGAAAATAAAAAGACCATTAAAAAGGGGGGGGGGGGGGAAAAAAGCAACTATGTGGGGCATCTTTTTTTTTTTTTTAAAGCATATTTTGCATCTTTTTTTATTATTATTTTGTTCAGACGACGCCACCTGTTTTGCAGGTCGGAACACATGTGGCACAAGCGAGTCATAGAGAACACGATGACGGAGATGGAATGGCCGCCCTCACCACTCTACACAGCTCCTGGACGTCGTGCTGCATAAAAGAGTCGAGCGTCTCCCAGCTGGAAAGCAAAAACAAGTCCCACTGTCAAAAACCCCTACAGTGAGCTTACGAGGATCGCAACAACAAACAAGCTTCCGTGGAACAAGATCGGAAATTCCAAAATCGAGCGCTCGTTGGGACCGGCGGGCAAGGTTGCCGAATTGAAACTTTCTTATTTCATTTACTTATTTCGTTCCGACGTTAAAGGGGCACTACAACGACTTTAATGTTGGAAGAATTTGCAGCACATATTTTTTATATTGTTTATTCTATGCGCAAGCGATGGAAAGCGTGCCACCACCTCCTAAAATGCTGCGATTCCGCCCAGCACAATCACAAAGGAAAATACCCTTTTTTTTTTCTTTCCCAACCGGCAAATTGCGTGTGGCAGTCACTGGAATATGGTGCGACGTCGTTCAGAGTATGCAAGTTTTCATGACGCCTTCTGTCGCGAGTCGACAAAAGCGTTTCCTCTCCGTCGCTACCCTCCTTGTTCTTCCCGTGGCGAACCGTCTCGTCTTAATCGCTCGTTGCTACCTTCGACGATGCTAAGCGGGTGTAGTGCCGTTATAACTGAGCTCCACAGAGCTTCTCCGTTGGCCGACAAGCTCTCATCCTCCGCATTCAATTCCGAGAAGTGTGAGAGGTCTGAATCGGAAAAGCCCGTGCACCGACACACACTACAGCGAGAGCAGCTGACACGCCAAACGACCATTTTGCGTGAATCACGTGCACAGCGGGTCAAGTTTTGAAACTATAAATAGCCCCAGCAAAACAAAACATTGTGAGAATGTAACTTTTATTAACTACCTAAAGACCTAACAAAAAGCAGCACCTCTCGGGGTGCGCGCAGCTCGACATTCGGGCTAAAAATTTCAAATGTGCAAACGCCGTCGTACAGGGACGACGACGATTGTCACAAACCGGTACAAATATGAAGCGCCCAATTAAAAACATCCTGCCCCCAACGAACCCCGCTCAACAAACCGCCGTTAGTGTCGCCGACAGAACCACAGCCCGAAAAGAGTGGAAGAGGAAAGAGGTGGGGAGCCCCCTCACCCGAAGGACTTCGTGAGCTTCTTGGTGCCCACGGGCTTGTCCGAGAACTGCAGCTCGTAGAAGACCCGCTGTAGCGCCAGCGCCACGCTCTTGGACGAGTCGTCGCTCTCCGTCGGCATCTGGTACACCGCCTGCGCCGCGAAACGACCACGCGACACCCCGTCAGGCACTGCGCGGTGCACCACCCTCCTACGCATCTACCATGACCACGCTCGCGTGTTTCGGTCGGCGCCTGCGATGCATCGAGAGTGGTTCCAAAGCAGCACCACATGACGTCGCGGGAACCGGCATGTCACGCAGTCAGGTGTCGCAATCCCAACGGTTGGTTCAAGAAGTTGCAACAAAAAGTGAGCGGACGGACGGAAGTTTCTGTCGTCACGGTGTCCCAGCTAGTGACAAACAAAGTTTCCGCGAACTGTCAAACCGGGGAGTGAATCGCAAGAGAATGGGCACCTGTGGCAAGTTGGCGCTTTTGTTCGCTTTTCTGTGCACCCCGTTCGTTTCTTAGGATAACAAACTCGTATATTTCGTGCGCGACGAGTCGCACCGATTCTGAAGATGCGCCGGCTAATGCGGATCTACTCCTGGAAACAAAGGCCACTTTACAGCGCTTGATCGCGTAAAAATCTAACTCAGTGTTAACTCCCAACTGGGATCCTGTACACACGACATCGGTAATCCTCGACTAACCCCGGACAGCTGGTCTAACCACAATCAACACGCGTCGAAACTGATCCCGGGCGCTTCGCGGCCGTCTCCGGGGAAGCAGACGACGTGCCGGCAGTCGAGTTTCCCCGACAGTTCCCAGACGTTGCCGACGTCTCGTGGCTCACCTTGCGGAGCTGATTCGTGAAGAAGAGTGTCTGCAGGAGGGAGTTCATGTAGCACGTGGCACCCTGGTTCTTCAGGCCCACGTAGCCCGTGTGCTTTTTGGAGTCCCAGCTGAAACGGGAGGAGAGCAGAAGTTGAACAAAGAGGCGTCGTAAAACCGAATCGCGACGTCAGACAAGGTAACTATCTGCCGCAATCGTAAACTACAGGCATCAAAGACCCAATTGTGAGCTAGTACTTCAGGATTTTAACTTGAGCTACGGCATCAGATCCGTAAATTAGGATTACGGCGCTGAGGCGGTTTCGGCAGCGTCCTCACCTGACCCCGTGAGGCGCGTCCGCCGACACCCACACCTCCAGGATGATGGTGTCGTCCAGAATGAACCCTTTCTCCGGATCGAGAACGTCCTGCGAGGAGAGGAAAAGGTGTCGCGCCGCGTCCACCCACGCATACTCTCGACGTCGCTGAGAACACCCAAGATTCCAATTGTGCATTGGCCCATTTGCGCGTTGAAAACACGATCAAACATTGCTACTCGCCATTAGTGTGTCGTAATGTTCAACCCCATTTTAACGGAGAATGGGCTGCTCATAGTCTTAATTTGCGGGCCTTCCAAAATAAATAAATACACTTGGGCCGTGTTCCAAATTTCACCCAAATGGGTCCGAGTTACTCCGGAAAGTCGCGTCACGTGGCAGCGCAGATGGAAAAACGCTGGACACGGGTAGGTTTTTGAACGCCGAGGTACAAACCCTTACCCTGTAGCAAGATTCACTAAACTTTGGTACACAGCCTTAGAGTGCTTAGACCGAGTTATCTCCGTGAAAAAGTTTAAAAACATAATTCATAGTCATATTTTAATTCATAGTCATATTTGACATTTCTAAGGTTTGAGAAACTGACATAGTAACGCTTTCGACCTTATTATATTTTTCTTTCCTGCAAGTAGAAAAATTTGCTTGCTTTTCTATTCTCTTTTAGGTTTTTGTTTTTCCTTCTATTTGCTATTGTTAGATACTACTGACTGCCCTTGTGTCTCGTCACTTCTTACGTACACTTCTAATGTACCATTTTGCAATAATCTCCTTGCAAAATGGGCAGGAGTGAGTGGCTCTACACATTATGAAGTAAACAACACTAAAAAATGTATGGCGTCAACTCACCGTCCACGTCATGAAGTGACTGAATCCCCAGTCGTTCTCCTTGCTATAGAATAGGTGCTGGATTTCTGCAAGGGACAACACAGAGCGTCATGCACACACCTCTCCAACGTTCCCAGAACGTTGAGCCTCAAACACGCATGAAACGTGACAAACAAACAAGTTGCACTTATTTTAGACGCGGCGATTTATAGGCTTCAAGTCCTGTGCGGCATCGGAAGAGAAAGATGAAACACTGCCGAGACAATTTCTCGTTAGCGGCTTCAGATTTCATTAGTCTATTCGTACAGTTAATTCACCTTGCACACTTGTAGCTCGCGTGCGCTCTCAGAGACCACAAACGGATGCAACGGCGACCCTGCCACAACGCTCTTAACCAACACCCCCTCTAAAACAATCCCCACCACTTTTTGTGGCTACGAACCCGCAGGGTGAGAAGCCGTACGCCCCCCATCCTATCAAATGTCTGTGACATCCTAAAGGATCCCCAGCAGTTTCGAATTTGTCTCGATTTTCTCGGCAAATACGCGAGTCTGCGGCGAATAATTAGGCGAGTGCTGTTTCGACGCCACGTCCTAGCACCTCGCGCGAAAGAACTAAATACACTGCAACTCACTTACAACTATATCACATTTAAAGATGTACCGCTTATAACGATCAGTTTCTAGAGTCTCTAGAAAATGTGATCAGTTTCTAGTCCAGATACAACGTTGAGTAGGTTGCACTGTACTTTTTTCAGGGTCGTCAGAGGCCCTTCGAAGTTCCGCGCAGTTAAACGTTTTGCAGAACGAGTCAACGTAATACACCTACTTCTTACGAAGTTGTCGACGCCCTCCTTCTGGCTGATGATGCGAAGCTCTGCCGTCGCGTTGCATGACCACGTCCTGAAAAGCATCCGGGCATCACGCAACGAGTCGTGCAGCTCTATTTCAGAAGTCCGACTTCACGATTGTCACAAGCAGCAAACATTATCCTATAGCTCTGCCGATACCTTTACTGTTGTGTGGTAACTATAACAACTGCAATGCCTTCTTTTAAAGATTAGGCAAACAAAAATCCCTATTTTCTAAAGTTGAAGTGTGGCAACAATTCACACAATGACCTTTTAGCCAAGAACCCAGGCTGCTATTCTATTTAGTACACGACCCAACATTTTGTTTGGCCAAGAGTTATAAAAACTGTTATGTTTGTTATTGTCATAATTACACCTCTATATTTTTCAACTCTCCCAAGGCTTCTCTAAAACATTTCAGGCCACTTTAACCCTACAAAAAAAAAAAAACTTTATTTTTGATTATTGTGTAACTACAAGATGTGCCCTCTCGCAGCCCAAAAGAAATTACGACTATCCGTGTTGGCAGGCTTTCAATAACGCTTGCATGATAATCAAACTCATTAGGCCCGCTTCAGACGGGGCAACTTTTCCAGCAATTTTGAGGTTGCTGGCGGGTTGTTCCCTAGCTTTCCCTAGATCGACACGAATTGCTGAGGTCGGGTCCGGCTCGAACAAGCGAGCAACTCGGAGCAATTCGAAGACGGTTGAAGCGGCTGCAGCCAATCAGAGACGCAATATTTTCAAGTGACACCCCTGTGGTGGTGATGATGACAGCTAAAGACTTAGTTCTGGTTTGGAATGGATCGTTTTCGGAAATAAACAGTTTCAAAAAAATTAATCAGTATTCTCAACGCCGTTCAAAGATATAAGAACGCGTTTTTAGCGCGTAGTTGGGCGTCTAAATAGTGAAAGAAGAGTCAAATTTAATGATGATGATGGCAAGTTGGAGCAATTCGGTTGCTGCGTTTGAACGCGGGCGGCCGGTGTTGCGATGTCAAATTGCTGGGTGAAATTTCTCCGTCTGAAGTGGGCCTTATGAAGAGCAAACAATACATTAAAGTATGGTATTCTCAGAAGACCAACCCTTGAAAGCACGCAATGAAGCATGATTTGTTCACAAATTTTTCCAGTTCTTGCTGTGTTCTGACAAAATTTTCTGCCATTCCTCTCGCATTTTGGGGTGAGAAAAGTTTTCCTATAATTTCTCAGATCATCCAATAACTTCCTATATTCCCATATGGCTCCCCAAATTCTTAGACAATACCCTATCTCCCCATGCAACTCCCTGAATTCCAAAGAATTCCTCAGATCACCTGACCATTCTCTAAACCCCCAGAAAACTCACCAACAGCTGAGATAATTCCCACAAATCTCAATACAACTCCTTCAATTCCCTAGACAATTCCCCAAAATCCCCAAAACCTACCTAAATTGTAGGACAAAAACACTAACTTTGAGGATATATACTTGATTTTCATTATAATTATCTAACTTGAGACAATTCCAGGTTTTCATTTTCTTTTCATCCCGTGACGAGCTCAAGCCCTTAATCATTTCGAGGTCACATTGCTGCCCATTACGATAGAGATGGCACGCGACACGTTTCAGAGCGAGCTGTTCCGAGGCAAATCGTGGCAGCAGCACTCACGAGGACTCCGACTCGCCGTTGCATTGTAGGAAGAAGCCCAGACTTTTGGTTGGCGTCCGGTCGTTGCCCGCATTCGTGCGCGGCATCACCATGATTTTCCTACACACGAAGACAGTCAATCAATCGTTTTTGCAACAAAAATGTAAAGGCACACTGAGCATGCTGGATAAAGCAATGTAAAAGGCATTCGAAGTTAGGTAAAAAGAAACTGCTTGATTCTGTACTTGAAGCAAACTACCGTAATATCTCGAGATGTCCCACCCCCAAAAGATGGCCCTCCCCCTATTTATCGCCTCAATTTGCTATATATCTTCTTAAACACCGGAAGATAGCCCCATCCTAATAATAGTACTGTTGTGATCAAAGATGGCCTTGGCATAAATGCGGCTAGTTGCTGTGGCAGGATGAGCGAACGTTGCAGACTGAGAAGAACAGTCTTCCTTGCTTCGTCACCTCTCACCACAATAACAAGCTTTAAGGGACACATAACCTAAAAATAGCATTTTTTTCAAGTTTTCTTGATTACACATCAAAATGAGCCCGCTCCATATTTTCATCCTATTTGCACTTGATTTTAGGTCGGCTAACTTTCAGGATACTATGGTATGTCGGACACAATGAGCAACTGGTCTATTTTGTACTGGGTGTGATGTGGACTGCCGTAAAATAGCAAGCATCCGCCCATTCCCTAATAAGTGCCCACCCTTCCAATTTGAGAACCTCCGGAAAAGACACAAATAACATGTCTTTGCATATTATTTTACATGATTATCTCCAAATGTTGAATGGGTGCTTGCTCGGGATTTTACGGAACTGTAAATGAATTAACTTTAGAAAGGACCTAGTTCTCATAAACATTGCGACAAAGTTATTGCAAAAAATTTATCACACAAATATATCACCTCATGGTAGTGAACACGCAGCACACCACTCCAGATTGCAGAAGTTTTTACACCGGACATATTACCGAATTTCACACTTGGCAATACAGTCGCGGACAGATTTTTTGGACGCCGATAATTCGGACTTGTTTGATATTTAGACCCGAAGGAGGAACCGTGACCTGCCCGATAGAAATAGTGCATATTCACGACCAATGTTTCAAACAGCTTGAAGTCGGAAAGCTTGATTTTTTGGACAAAATCATTGCGAGCGGTCAGTGGGAGTCATCACCGAGAAGCCGCCATTTTAGATTCGATGTTGGCTGCACATGGATTGGCTTGGTTTGGCAGTGCTACTTGGGCACCACTAAGTAAAACTGCTAGGTAGGGTGACCACCTTCCTGCTAGCGAAATGCGGGACACGCCGAAGGGAGGGGGGGGGAGGGGGGGGGGGGTTATGGACAACACACCATGAACCGAGGCTCTGTTAACACATTTAATATCCTGTGCTATTTATACACCTGCAAATTATATTGCAGAACTTAGGCTAAAATAATTTTCACTCCCAGTCATATATATTTTCATGGCAAATATGTCATTAATGTGTCGAAGTTCAAAACATAAAAATCATCTGCAGCAGTACTCAATGGGTTCAATAGAATTACGAAACAATAACTATTTTTCGGGTTATTGTTTCCTGTCAACGCTTACTCTTATCAACATAGTCCTACACAAATTTTTAGCATTATGTCCTTTTTCGACCGTTGTAAGTTGCAGGCTTTTTGCCTTGTGTGGCTGTCTTCACAAAACAAAAATCCACAGCAACCCTTTATCATTGACACAGCGATTTGAAAATAATTACAATATTTTATATTTAAACTTTTGGCGAGCAATTTTTCTTACATTTTGCCGCCAAGGGGGGAGGCACAAAGGAGCATGCGCTTTGGTTCTCCTGCAAGAACGACGGTTAATAGCCTCCCACAATGCTTGGATAGAAAATGGTGTACCATTGCGATTCACATGATTACCAGCGAACGCCGCGCTTCCCCGTGCCCCGTTGTTCGGCAGCACCACGAGTTGCAGAGTTAATTTGACGACAGCATGAAATGCGGGACATTTTGAAGATTTTGATTATTCTTGCGGGATGCAGGACACGAGTCCTCAATGCAGGACAGTCCCGCGAGTTGCAGGACGGGTGGTCACCCTACTGCTAGGTGACGCTATGCTATGGCTTTTTTTTTTTTTACAGCTGCCACGCAATTATCGTTGTTACCATTTTGCTTTGTTCTTTTGGCGTTCTGCAGCCGTGGACCTTGCACCTCTCACCACGTCTCGGTGAATAATGTTTTCGGACTACGCTGGCTTGGACTTCGTAACCCCAACTGTTCTGTCACCGCGAAGTATTGCCAAGAAGCGCAGAAACTACTCGATTTTAACACTGGAAAAAAAGGTAGCGATTTTCAAACTAATAGAAAGTGGCCGAACACAAGCGGAGCCGTAACCTGAAGCAGGGCACTACTGACGGCTTTTTAAACCCCGCTTAAACGTAAAAGAGGCAAGGTTTTTAATCTGCTGATTTTTCGGACTGCTCAATTATTTTGATGTTTTTTTGTTTCTGCGATGTCCAAAAAATCAATCGGCGACTGTACTTACTCGCAAGTTACTGAGGGCGCGAAAATAAAGCAATTTACAGCATGTCGAACAGCTTCCGGAATGACGATGAAAACAAAATAGATCCGACTAAGTTATATTTTATGTGTCAACATAATCCCCGCAAAGCTCGACGGGTTTGGCTTGATATCTCTCCAGCTTCGGTTCTTTCCCGGAGGCGACATTCTTCGAGGTTCGAAAAATTCCCGTTCACAATCTTGATCAATGCGTCATTAAACTGAAACCCCTTTCCAGCCAGAAATGTTTTCAATTTCAGGAACGGGCAGAAACTGTCGTTTCCGGTCACCAATGTTTGCTTATCTCCCACCGTAGCTAACAAACCTCATTTTGGCCAAGGCGCTGCAATTACTAAAACTCAACTATTTCAATGCAAAAAAAAAAAAAAAAAAATCAAACCACGTTAAAAATAGGAATGGGCTATCTCTTGGGGGTGGGCCATCTTTCAGGGGTGGGCCATCTTTCGGGATATTACGGTAGATACAGGCCTTGCAAACAAGGTCTTTCTGCTTCTTTGTAGACATCAAAACGTCACCAGTAATACGGTCCGATCGGGACCACCGCCGTTTCGAAGCGGCCAAAATACACGAGACCTCTTCCTCTAGTCTGGATGAACTCCGTGCCAGCACACGCAAGAGCGAAATGAATGTAAGACTGCTAAGGCCGCTCACCAGGGGAGGTTGCGCACTTGGGTGGCCGGACTGAGCACTGACTCCCGCAGTCTCGAGAAGCCCGTCACCACAAAGCGGAAGGTGGCCTCTGACCGGGCCTCGTCCTCCTCCTCCATGGGCTCGTCGAGGCCATCCGGCGCCGCCGCTGCCGCCGGCACCTTCGTCAGCGCGCCCGCGTCGGCGGCGGGGGGCGGGGCCGGCGCCATGGGCTCGTCGCAGGCGGGAGGGGCGGGAGGGGGCGGGCTGTGCACGTCACCCACCGCGGGGGACACGCCGTTGGCAAAGCGCTCCCGCCCGCCCGTCTCGGGCGGGGGAGGGGGCGGCGGGTGGTGCAGGGGCTGGGCCTGCTGGGTCGGCTGTGGCGGCTGCTGCTGCTGCTGCGACGGTGGAGGGGCCACGTTTTCGTCTGCAACAGAGGGGGCGAGTGCACCTCAGGCCGCGCTCAGACTAACAGTAAATCGTACAAAAGACGCGCTGTTTGCTGCAGACGCGGTGATGGAAACGTCTGCAGACCTGCCTCATTCGCAATCGAAGTTTCGCGGTCGCAATCGCAGACTCTGAGTCGGCTGCTAGCCGGTGCGACTGGATGGTCATTGAGGGTAACTTTGGGCAGGCTTAACCACCAATTGACTGGATACGACTGCTATGCAAAGCCAGTCACCCTGCTGATACGTCGTGCAAAAACACCGTGCTCGCTGCAGCACGACAGAATTATATCGGCGGACATGCCTCGAGCATGTTTGAAGCATCTTTGCTTCACACATTTGTTTGTTCCTCATACGTCTAAAGACCATTTTTGTTTGACGAACTTGACGGGACCATTGTGCAAGAAACACGCCTCTGACAGTGTCTGCAGCCTGTCTTTTGTATGCTGTACCAGCAGCTTTATAGGCACCAGCACTGGACTGGGGAGGAAGAAGAAATACAAGGGGAAAGGAAATTACCATAAATCACGTGATTGTGCAACTTATTATTTTTTCTTTTTTTTATCAACATATTTGCAGCATTTTAAGGCCACAAAAACGGGTATACCGTAAAATACCGGGCAAGCACCCACTCAAAATTTACAGATAATCGCTAAAAAATGGAAGATGGGCGCTTCTCCGGTCATCAGTTTTACATATCACTGTACTGTGCATATTTTCTCAGATCTTACAAATTTGGGTATGGGCACTTAGTGTGGAATGGGCGGATGCGCGGTATTCTACGGTAATATTTTTTGTCCATTTCTAGTATTGAGTGTGTGCCTTCGATGATCCACAACTGATTACCTATCTCTGGTGGTTATGACTAAACCATAGAAAACGGCACGTAACCAGCCAGCCAGTTTACGATAGGCAGTTTTAGGGTACAAAAGTAAACAAACTTTGAGCCGCGATTTGCTGTCTGGGTAGTCGGACTCTTCTATGTCGTGCAGATAAAAGCCTTGGCGAGACTAAATACCCTGTCAGTATCCCTGTAAAGCTGCCAGCACGCCGGTGTGCCCTCGGCCATAAAGCTGTATTCACATGGGAGAGAGATCCACGACGTCATCAGCAGAAGCAACTCATCAGCTTAATCGTTCGTATGGAAAGGGTGCCAGTAAAAAGGCATGTTGGCATCAGCGGTCAAATTTGGAATTTGGTGGTTACAGCTTTTGACGCCGCCGCGGACGAATTCGGCGGTTTCTACACTTGACACCAAACTCTTCGATGAACAACATGCCATTAAGAGTAAACCTATCTGCAGCCAGAAAGGTATTGCTGGTACTGCACGCTGCCGCAGAGCTGACATCACATAGATGCATTCAAAAACGTCACATTTTTTAGTCTTATTGCACGCAACATGCCCTCATCCGAAGGAGGCATCAAACGAAGCCCCGCCCTGTGAAAGTAGTTTTGATAGAGCTGCAGAAGCTATGCCAGCCTTTGCAACAAATACAGTATAGTTTGTACCAATTATAAGCACTTACTCTGACAACTGCAACAATGAAGTATGTAGATGGAAACAAAGAAACGAAAAATAAATCCAATAAATCATTGCAAAGCAGGAAAGAAAAAAAAAGTGGTTATCTTTCAACGGAGCTTGAAACCCAGAGTTTGCCACAGAGTCTATTTTTCTGGATAAAATATATGAAAAACGAAAGTGTTCAAGGATTACCCGACACACAGTGGGTAATTTTAGCAAATCACAGACAGAGGGTAATGCAAATATGTGAACCTGCCATCAGAGAAACCCATGTGCTAGTAACAAATACAAAACAAAACAGCAGGAACCCTTTGTGGGTTTTTTGTTGCAATTTGAACCTTTTGGTGTGTGTTGTTGGCCTATTAGCTTGTAAGCCAAACAGGAATTTCTTCATAAAAATCGTAAAGCTTTCTGTATTCACAAGTACTGCCATCACTGCTCCGAGCTTGTAGATGACGCTAATCAAACACGGTACTGTCCCCCAAGGTCAGTTAAGAATTCCCATAATGGCAAAGAAAGAAAGTCAAATGATACGGATACAACCTATTTACTTTGATTCACTGGCATTGAGAACACTTTTTCCTTATAAAGCATCATGGTCGTAGAAATAACTTAACGGAAAAGCAGCTGGCCTGACATTCTTGCTCAAGGGAACTGGCATTCATTTTTCTCTTCGCAATCTAGCTTCGAAAAAAAGAAAATGTGTCAAAGTGGTTCAAATTGTTTTGTTCTCAGCTGTGGCAAGGAAACAAAAACCGCAAGTCACTGCATTGCGTTAATAGTGTTCCGAAACCGAGCAGCTCCAAAATCAAGAGCGAGATATTGAGTTTTGTGTTATTTGTGAAACAGCATCTATAAACACGCTTTGCGAGTATGCGGCAAACTGCAGAAAGAGAATGAATGCCGTTTGTGACTACTGCATTTCCTGGATGTCCTCTTGTGCCTACTCCCATTCAAAACCTCTAAGTGTGTTAAACCAAAATGCTCTCCTGCTTCTTTCACGCAACTAGTCTCCCCGACGTTACTGGTGACTTTGTGAGCAGGTTATTCCCTCGCAAAACAATGTCAAGGGTGTCCCCTGATGATATGCGTTCTGGTGGAAGGCCGCAGTCATTAAAAGGATGCTGAACAGAAATCTAGATTCCCCAAAACATGCGGCAAAAGTGTGCAATGGGATGCTACAAACACCAAAACGTCACTCGCACAGCGATATCTCGAACGGATGACCGTATTTTTCAAAAAAAAAGACGCGCATTTGGCAGGAATGTTGATGTCATGTTTCTCCGAGAAGGAGAGGGAACGGCCTCGCGTCTTTTCCGCTTCGCGGCCTTGAGAGAGCTAAGCGAAGAGATGACGAAACTAGGTATCTTCACGTCACGCGCCTGGTTCAATCTCGACTTCTTTTTCCAAAAATACGGCCATCCATTTGAGATATCGCCTTACCAGTAGCGTTGTAGGGATTGTAGCGCCCCACCTACATCACCAGCATTGTTTTTTTGAAATCCAAATTTCGGTTCACCCTTTATTGTTAAAATAAATGGTGTAAATATACACCCTTTATAGTTAAAATGATCAGTCAGTTCCAGCACTGGAAAGAGAAGGATGGCAGCAAAGTTAGGTAGCTGTTTGAAAGTGCCCTCGTTAGAAAATTGTTTGGCAAAAAGCAGGGAAAACACTTTTTCTTTTCACGTGCACATGTTTCGTCTATTGTTCGTAGCCCATCCGCCAGAATAGTGTTCCCAGTTTTGAAATCATATTTCGAAATCAAGGCAGCATCCGTAACCTGTTGTTCCGTAATCGGAGAGTTCCTAAATCAAGGGAACGAACGTACATTCTCTAACGAATGGTTGTATGATGGCATGTCAAGTCAAACGAACAGAGCTCAAACCAACAAAAGCACAATTAACACTCCTTTTCAGGCCTGCTGGGATAAAATCGTGTAACAGCCTTCCCTCTTTTAGATTGTTCATGAACTACAATATCGGAGAAGCCATATGTATTTTCACGATTCCTGACTGCTGGATGGTGGTAATGACAATTTAAAAGACCAAAGGCCACGCACATCATTCGTCACGAAAAGTGTGTGGAAATAGCACTCATTTGTCCGCACTGAAGCCCGCACTGCCACTGTGGATAAAATTACTCTCTACCTAACAAATCCTGATCCAATGAAAGAATGCGACTTGAGGCATCCAACACCTAACGCGGATTTACAACTTGCCACTGCAGAGCCAGGGGTCTGAAACTCATGCGAGTGCGGGGGTCAGATAGCCCATCCCCAAAATGCTGTGGGCCAACATAGGGCGGGAGGGAAGGGGGTTTAATGTATATTAGGACAACAAAACAACAGTGTTGGTGTTCCATGTTGCAAAACCGCCGAGTCTTTCAGCGACACCCAGAGATTTCCTAAAGAAGGGACTTTGCGCTTTTTGTAAAATAACCGTTTTGCCAGTACCGTCCTTAGCTTTGATTTATTCATACAACTACATTGGATCTGTACTTAACAATAAGTACCGATCAAGTGCCCAGTCAAAATTTGGAGATAATCGCAAGAAAGTGGGGGATGGGCACTTGTTAGATCACAAATTTTATCGTATTTGTACTGCGCATATTTTTTCAGATGTTATAACATTTAGAGATGAGTGCTTAGTGTAGAATGTGTGGATGCTTGGTATTTTACGGTAGTTGTTTTCAAGGTTTAAAATACCCCCCATCTAGCCAATGTGCTGGAATTTTTCAATGCAACTTGAAACCAAGGACACAATCGTTACAATGTTGATCAATTCACTCCCAGAAGTATCAAAGTTCAATATATCTTGAAAGAAATTCTTTTCGTATAGTAGTTATTACTTTCCTGACAACTTTTACCAAAATTCCGAGAAAATACTTGTGTCTTGATGGTATGTAAGACGAAACAATCTTCGATCTGAAAGAAAACAGATTAGTGCTAAATATGTTAAAACTTCATAAGAGCAGAGCTATGTTTCAAGTTAAAATGAGTGGACGACAAGAGGTTGATATTTATAGCGCGCACGGCACTTGAGGCATAAGATTGGGGGCTCGCAGCCACGGTACATTTCCGGGCCGCGTCCCAGAGGGTTGCGAGCCACATGCGGCCCGCGTGTTGTGTACCCCTGGCGTAAGCAACAACAGTGACACAGAATTTCGCCAACATGCGTTCCTTGCACCAACTGTTCCAAGCCACACATGATTATCCAACAAGAGCGAGTTACAACACAGGCATCACGTTCAAAGACCTGCACCCAAACTCGAAATGTCTCACTGAACTTGCTTCGCATACGACTATGTCACAAAGGAGTGATCGCATCATAGGAAGGCAGCCACAGCTCGTATGTGATTGCTCTCCATCACACTGCCGCTTTTGAGTCGGTGGCATAGTCACTTTTGGCGAGCACAGGTGACTCAAGAGTGCAAAACACTGAAACATAAACATGCCGAGCAGCTAACACATAAGAGGCGAAATCACTCAAAACCATCTGGCTAGATCACACCCCCTCAGTAACAACCAGTTGAACAAAGGTAGGGCTGAAAACGCGAAATCGCTGTCAGCACTTTTGAGCCCTGTCAGCATTGCTACTGTCCTCCCACTACGTCCTGAATGGCCGACATTTGTTTGTTATTTTTCAAGCATCTTTTTAGACAAGTGGGTGTATGTTTTCTCGCGTAAAAAAAGAAAAAGAAATGAGGTATTATACGGAGCCTAGGACTCACGTTCGGCCGCGATCATCGCAAAGTCATTGAAAAAGTAAAAAAAAAAATGAAAAAAAAAAAACGGTGCCACCGACGTTTGCTTCCGCACACTCTTCGCCTAAGCCTCCGGTCCACAGCGGGGGGCCCAAACCTCGCGACTCGTCGTCCGTTTCGACCGCGGTCTGTTACGAACGACCCGACAGCTCGCTACGAGCCTGGGGGGTTAAAGGGAAAAAAAAAAGAAAAAGAAGACGCGACAAAACAGTACACCTCGTGCAACAAACGATGCGTTAATCTCTTTTTTTTTCATCCACACCTTTTTTCTATATATTTTGTTTTTGTTCAGGTGAAGCGGTGTTGGGATCAAAGCGTCGCCGATCACAGCTACGATTGTTTAGGTTTATTTTTATTAGCTTCATGTAATCATATTCCGATCATCCTTAAAGCCGTCAAATCCACGGCACAAGCCGCGCTCCTCCCAAAAAGTATCTGCCCCAACTGACCAAAGAAAAAGACCGTAGCAGAGGAAGGGGGGGAGCGTGCTAGCGGAGCGACCAAGACTCCGAGCTATTTCCGTACCGCTGCTAGGTAACCCTTGACCGACCCGCACACCCCGACCCTGCGGATCTGTAGGGCTGCCTTTCAAACGAGTCGCCGGAGCGCAAGAAGCGAGGCGAAGCCGTTTTTCGCCGCGACACCGGCAACCCAAGTTGACAACATCCGAGCTAGGCCTAACCTAGGCTTAAGGCTCCTCCAACGGGACCCGGTGGATGATACGTCAAAAGGGGGGGGCCTCTTGGGCCGGTCGCGCTGTCGGGATCGGATCGCGCCGGCGCGGTTTCGAGGGAGCGTGAAAGAAAGGGTAGTGCATACCACCTTCTTGTGTATCCATTTCCTCCAAGTCTGCCTGACCGCTGTCCTTGTCATGAAGAACAGCGTGGTTCATTATAAGTCCGACGGCAGCTGTGGTGTCACGGGTGGCGGCGTTGCGCTTAGATCGGGCAGAGCTGTTGGAGCGTTCTTTGCCTGCGGCCAGGGGGTTTTTGCCGGACACTGTCACTTTGACGTGCTTGCTCGCGATTCGCCCAATGTCTGCTGGTGTCAGCCCCCCGGACAGGGGAAACCATGCGACGACAAAACGGACTTTGCAGGGGACGCCGAGACTCACGATCGCGGCGGCACGGAGCATGAAAATAAACAAGATGGCCGCGGCTATGGTGGATTCGCGCGCGGGGCATCTTGGGTAGTCGGGATCCCGCAAGGAGCGCATTCGCGTTGTGCAACCCTCGCTCATAAGGGTGTTACGTTGGGTCACTCTCGTTAGAAAAACGTTCACTAAATTATAAGTTTGCGTTAAATTCTAGAATATTTTTAATATTTGAAGTTAATAATAAAGTAAATTAAAACGTAGCGTGTATTTACATTTAAATATTACGCTGTTTTGAGCAAATGTTTAATTTTTTAGGGATGTTTTTTACTCGGTAAGAGTCAGTTGGCTATTTAAAACACTCGTTTGGTAGGGCAAACGAACGTACCAATAAAAACAAGAGAAGCAAACGAAAATTTACTGACAAGTAGTGTAGATTTTGCCGAAGAAGCGTAGTTTAGCCTCCCCGGGCTCAGTAATTCCAGAGTAGAGCCAACCCAAAATTATTTCTCTTCGCATAGGTGTTCACCAGCTCTAAACCCCTTTGATTCGAACGCAGCTACGCAGTTTCGATTTGCGCTTTTCCCCCGACCGCTCGCTCACGTTCCTAGTTGCGTAATGTGTCGCTAGGCCGCTAGGCGGCCACTTGGCCTTTGGGGCGAGGAGCGGTTGGCTGGTTGTTGAATCGGGCAGCAGCTTGCTTGGTGTGCGAAGACTGTTCGTCTGCGTCGTTCGCAGCAGTCGCCCAGCGGAGAGTCTTTCTTTTTATTTTTGTCCCCTTATAAACCGTGTTCGTTCCTGGCCCTTCGGTTCCGCGAAACCAGTGCCGTCGTCGCCGTTGCAAAACTCGGGGCGAGTCCCCCCTCCCCTCCCCGCCTTTTCAAAATGACCGAGCGCAGCGAAGAGCTCGACTCATGGATTACGAACTGGGAACGCCAGTGCATCGAAGAGGTCGAGAGCAGTCCCGACTTGGAGTCACAGATACAGAACGAGAAGGACACATCGTCCCAAAAGCTCTGGCTCCTTTTCCAGAACTCGGCGACGTGCGTGGCTCAGTTGTATAAAGGTACGCACCCGACCCCTGCCCGACCGAGACAACATCGCGTAGCATCGTGCGAGAGCCTAAAAAGCAAAAACGGTGGCGACCACGGAAACGAGGCTTAGGGGAGCGGGTAGGGTAGGGGAGTGGAGGGATACGACTGTTGTGTCCGCGACGAATGCCCTTCTGCATTATCCCGTTTTTAATGAACTCGCCTGGCTCTTTTAGTGGATCTGTGTTTCGTTATAAGCGCCGCGGTACCTATTCAAACCAGCATCTGGTAGTAACTGGCGAGCTATACTCACAAAGTCGTCGGCTCAAAAAAAAAAAAAAAAAGTCTTCGATCGCGTTTTTCTTTTTTTCTTCCTTATCTCGATTTAGAAAGTCTTCAGGCTAGTGCGTAAGAAAAGCCTCATGTACTGCTATCTATATTAATTCGTTAAAAAGAGGTTCGTGCTTGTAGAGTGGTTAGCGATCAATACACTCGTTGGTAAAGGTTCGGCGGATCAATCTCTTTTACGCGTAAAAGTTGAATCCCGATGCTGCAATCCCCTTTTGCGTGACCTGACGAGCATGTTAGAAACGTCTTTGTCCATCCGTCTTATGTTTGATTATTATAGTCACGCGTTAACCACAAAGCTCGCGACGCGAATCGCTTGTTACAGCGCAATGTCTTTTTGATCAAATCTACACGAGGTGTCATGCCTTTTTTGTGTGTGTGTGCACTTTTTTTTCTTCGTTGACGATTGTTTGATAGTAATGCCTATCATTTTTCTTAACCCGACGAGAGAAAAAAAAAAAAAAAAAATGTCGGGCTCTGTATTAATGTTTTTTTCTTTATTTCCTCTTAAAGATCGCCAGCATGGAGTTTCTTTATGGGTGCCTTTCCAAAATGCCGCAGCGAGTGTGACGAATCTCTACAAAGGTGGGCAGTATTCCCTTGTTTTCGTTTATCAGTACCAATAATAATCGTGTGTCGGTGTATGTGATTACTGGATCGCCTGTAATAGTACTCGAGGTCGTACAGTACGCGATCGGGTGATAGCGAGACCTCGAGCGCTACACGTACCCTATTGCCTCACGTTTCATAATCTAAGAAGAAGAAAAAAAAATACAGTTTTCAAAGGAACAAATTGATGTAGGTCCTCTCAGCCACTGCCCGCTCTAGACGCAAAAATGGTCTCAAAACAAAACTACATTCAACTTCACAATGGACTGGAGCGTATGCTGCGAGCCATCGGAACCAACTCAATGCCATGTGAGTGCCACGTGACCTTCAAGTGGAGCATGGATGCGTGGGGCGTGTAGCCCATCATCCAGTCGCGGCACTGGATTGGCGGAGATGGCTCTCTGCATCCACTGCAGTTCATCGTAAAGTGAAACGGGGGGCATCACAACTTTCATGACCTATAGGGGGCGCGCTGGCGCCTATCAAAATGGCTGTCATCTGGATGATCGTCGTAGAACAGCACTACGAGGCGGGGCTGCGACGCGTAAGTAATTCTAGTTTTGCTTTATGCGAGCAGTATTGGAGCCTTACTTTGTTTTTTCACGCCAGGAAGGTGTAGGCAAGCACTTTTATTGTGAAGCCAATCATCCAGGAGCTAGGGAACGCGATTCTCACACGGTGGTACCACCATCGCTGAAAGTTGCGAATATTTCGAGGAGATTACGAGACATGCAGTGTGTGCACTTGAGGAAAATCTGTCGTGTTTTTCCAGTTGGGGTTGTACAGAGCTGAAACGCTCGGAGGATAAGGTTGGAAGCGGTGACAATGCACGAGAGTTTTGGAACAAAGGGTTTAGTTGAAGGACGGGAGTGATGTCGCGGAGCTTGTCGAGGCGCAGGTGGTTTTAGCGTTTCGTGCTCGACTTGTGTCGTGTTTTGGGGGGTTTTGCAAAGCCACTGGAGCTTAATTTTTTGGTATGCTTGGATCGTTTGGTGGTAAAAAGAAATGGTGTAATTTTGTTGCTGTATATATTTCGGATAGATTCCGAGATGCGCTATCGAAAGTAATGAAAGCTGCAAGTGTGTTGACTTGAAATAAAAAAGAAAGGATGGGCTGGCATGTAAAGACAGGTTGATTACACGCGAGCGTCTTGGGTGTTAGATGAAGTGTATGTAAGAAGTAAAAATGCTCGTAAAAGTACTGTGGAAGTACTTTTTCAGCACTGTCTTTCTTGGCACGGTACTTTCTTCATCTGCAATGTCTTGAACGTTAAAAAAATAGGAGTTAACTATTTTACTTAGCAAAATGCAAGAACGACTTTGCCTTTGGTTTGAAAGCAAAAAGCTGGGGGTGGTTTCAGCCACTTCTCACAGACTGACTTGCAAAGATTTACTTGGAACTTAACTGTTTTGCATTGCTTTCAAAGTACCAAAAGTACAAAGAAAAATGTACTCCGAATGAGATACAAGTAGTACAGGGTGCACCAGGTATTTGAGAACATAACTTCGGGGTGCATAACTTCTCATAATCTATTTGTCTAGAAACTTGACTTTGAGTTTGATTGCGCCTATGTGCAGGGGTCTTAAACAGCAGCCCGCAACATCCCATGGCTCTGAGCCCCGGGTTCCATCCTGTGGGTGCTACAAGTCCCATAAATAATAGTTTCATATTGCTGATTCATTTCTGTTTGAACATGAGCTCTGCTCATATAATCTGTTCACACATTTTGCAATACTATGTTTTCTTTTAGACTGGGTATTGTTTCCTCTAAGTACAGGGCGTTACCAAACAAAAAATATACAGGGTTGTTTTCACAACACAAAAAGACTATGCATCGCCGAACGCTCATTATCCACCCAAAGGTAGCGTTAGAGGTCCGAACCAGATTCCAAAGTTTCAGCACAAACCAATATTTCATTCAAAAGTTAGATGTGATTTTCTGAAAATTTAATGGGAAAATGGGGCCTTCTTTTGCCCAACTTGGCTTCTTGCACCAGAAAGCTCTATGTATTCCGCCACCATTTTCCCATCGAAATTTTCAGAAAATCACTTGCATCTTTTGAATCAAATACTGGTTCCTGCTGAAACTTACCTCTATCGCTACCTTTGGGCAGAGAGTGAGCGTTCAACGATGCATGGTTTATTTTTGTGGTGAAAAAACCCTGTAAATTTTTTTGGTGGACACCCGTATTTGCTTCTGAGCCCTTTCTTATGTAAATCAACCGGAGGGACAACACCACTATATTAGGCTACAAGTGCGAGCTTTCCTCAAAGAGGCATCTTGGCTGCATGACCTCTCACTTAGCAGGAGCATTTGCTGAAGATGAAGCTATGTACTTGGACTTCTGGAAATCAGAAAATACCTTTAAAATACAAGTGTTTTCTTAAAATGCTGCTGTCAAAATCACCAGGAAACTAAAAACTGCCGTATGAGGGTATATTTTTTTCCGTGAGTGGCGAGCATGGTGAATTGTGCAACAGGACAACAACAGTGATTTCCCTTTTTTTTTTTTTTCTTTTTTTTTTTTTCTATTGAAATTGCCAGCAGGTTGGAGTTTTAAATCTTATCACATCTGAAATAGGCCCAAAGTAGACATGTATTCAAATTAAAAAGCTAAGGATGTCGCTGGGAAAACAGTGAGCTTACAAAAAGCAGAGCACGAAATCCCTTTCTTGGAAAATACCTGAGGTGTCGCTGGGAGAGTCTGCTGCTTTCCAACATGAAACACCATTTTTTTTTGTCCAAAATAGCAAAATACTGCCCTTCCAGTCGGCCCTTCGACCTTTCGAAGGTGGGCTATCTGTCCCCCACACCACAATGAGTTTGAGACCCCTGATCTAGTGTATCAATTTCAAAATTGCAGCTTCCGGTCCGACACAGAAAATGAAAAGGCATGCCGTCATTTTCTGGCATGCCTTTTCATTTTCACTGTGGTCGGTGGCCTTGGCCGCCGACCACAGTGATTTGGATGTATCCATCGTCTTGAATGTGTCAAGGTCTTTCGTTTTAAAGGTCAGAAAACAGCTTTTGGTTTCTGACAGAAAAGTTGCAACGTAACCAAGTAGAAAAAAACAAAAAAAACAAAAAAAACACACACATTTCAGGTTATTAAATGTTTTCAGGATGTTTGACTTTGCCCAGTAGGTGCAGGACATAGTGAACGACGACCCCAGCATGTCAACGACGGCCATTGCAAAGCTGCTCGATGTGGCAGAGTTCATTATCAGGCTTGTAGGGCATGAGGACTTTAGACACCAGTCGTACATGATGGGGGGTGGGCAGTTTATGTCCCAAAGATCCAAGGGACACCGTGTCATTCGGTCCAGCACTTGTTGAACAAGCCCACCACCCTTGAGAACCGGACGGGCTTTGGTTTTTTTTTTTTTTTCTTCCAACGAGACTGACATTGACCAAGACCAAATGGTCAACAGGAGGAATGACAGGTGGCTCTGCGCGAGCCCCGATGAGGTTCCTACGGTTGCGCGGACAAAGTTTCCGCCATCTTTGAGGGACCTAGCCACAATGAGCTATGAGGGTCACGCCATGCCGCCGCCCTCCTTTCAACGGGGCCTTGTTGCCTGCTCGAAGGCTTCTATAGAGACCCCGGCACTGTAGTAAAACTGTGGATAGAAGGGGTGGTCCAGGGGAGGTCGTACATTTTTTAACGGGACTCCGCACTGTGCCATGCGACCCAAGGTTGCTCAGCTGACAAGCTCCACGACCACGTCACCCCCATAGTGGCCTCCCAACTCTCCAAGTGTAAACACCCCAGACTATTATGTCTGGGTTGTCGTCGAGAGGGAGACCAGCAAACAGGCCCACAACCCCAAAGAGTCTGCCATTGTGGATGCTATGGCCAACATGGACAAGGACTGCTCAATCGGAGCATGCGGCCGTTTTCGAAGCCGCATCGATTCAATTATTTGCCGCCAAAAGTAGTTTTATCGAACAAAGTTTGGGAATGCGATTGGATTACAGTTATCTGTACCGAATTCCGCGCAGATAGATATATTATCATTTCTTTGAGACGTCTTTTTTTTTTTTTTTTTCGAAACCATTGTTTTGTTATTAAGCACCTTGCGCACCCTGTACATTCCCAGCTAACACTCCTTGGCCACCCTGTATCGACGTCTCCGGTTAAAACTGACGTGCCCATCTGTGGTTCGGAGCTCCAGCTACACGTGGCTAACTCTGACGTAGTGCAAGCTGCCATTGTGGTCACATGTTTCGCACTGCCGAATTCGGAGTCCTCGGCAGAAAGCACCACATTTCCCGGTCCGTAGGTCACACGGTCGTAAAAGTCGCACCCGCTAAAGCCACTAAATGACCTAAGCTTGAACTTTCGGCACTCTGTTCCTCGACATTGTTATAAGCGCCACCGACCTGGTGCTTAGAAGAGAGCAGGCGCAACTGCCGATCGTCATGACTCAAAGGTGCAACTTCCTCAGCATTAGATTCGGTGTTAGGAAACACACATAGTGTTGCTTTGCTCTGTCGCAAACTGTTTTAACATTTCTGGAGGATGGAAAAGCATTTTCTGTTATTTCAGATAACTTGTAACCATAGTTTTAAGTCCCAAGATTGGTAATACTCTGAAGCGTAGCTCATTTAGTGGCACTAGCATTAAAGGGGGCACTATCCAGAGAAAAATATTCTGCAAAAAAAGTTGCTTTTGTAAAATGCCCTATTTACATCAACCAACATCTAGAAAGTATTCCCAGAAAGTTTCATTTGTTTACAGCGCATAGGTATGTCTTTATAAATTATTTTCAGTCCACCAGTGCTAAAGAAAAGGTATAGGTTCGAGTACTTTGAATGTTTTTCTAGAATCCACCTTTTGGCATAAATCCCACCTTAATACAACTGTTGTTTCAGTATGAAACTATCGAGCCTGAATGTTTGTGGCTTATATGCCGAAATTTTATGGAGCCGGTTACTATGAACTTAAATTTTACAATTTCATTTCCTTTGCTATGAAAAATTGTATTTTGCAAAACCTAATAAAAGTAAAAAAAAAAAAAAAAAAAAAAATTTTTTTCTTAAACTTTTTTTGTGAAAAAATGCATAGTTTTAAAAATTTTCTTTTCATAGTGATTGGCAACAGGGATTCCACCAGAAAAATATGTTAACACCATTTCTCAGTGGTAGACTCATTGAGCAGATTCTATGCAAAACTTGCTTTACTTTGTTCTGGGGTTATAGAATTCACAGGGCTGAAACCTTACATTTCCTCCTTCTATATGGCTACAAAACACCACCCGCAAATATCCTGCCGATTGAGTGAGCGGTTCGAAAATATACGTTCTCAGGTAGTGTCACCCATTAAACAGATTCCTTTACAAAAATGTTGGTATACGAGTTGCACCTATGTATTTGTAAAGTCGGTGCTGCGAGGCCACACTGATAAGCTCACAGATGAGTGTTGCAATCACAGTACACGTGCAAGCGGGATCCAGAGCCAGCAATCTCGTTGGCAAATCCATCGAGAAAGATAACCCCTTGTGAAAATTTTGCAAAGTTAAGATCCGTACTCAAAGAAAAGAATGCATGCACGTTGCACCATTGTATAAGATGCATCGACAGAAATAAATTTAGCGGTGGCGTGAGAAAACCTTTGACCTGCTAAATTAAGCTGGAAGTGATCATTTGCCACGTGTAGTGGGGAATTTAAATTGCTGTGTAATTGCACGCCGATCCAGGTTTCCTGCCAAATTTAACATAAAACCTGGATCGCCGCAATAAATTCCTCTAAATTCAGTCTCTTCGGGTAGCTTGTAAATAAATGTCCGGCGCAGCTCACGACGCACAGCATGTTCTGTGTCCCCAACTTTATCCCAGAGATTAAGGTAATGAATGTCTCGCGCTTCTGTCGCTTTTTTTTTTGTATTGTTTGATGTTTGTTGCACCCCATCCCTGAAGGGGTACTTGGGTAGTGTTTGGAGCTGCTCCCAGCTAACTGTCTTCTCTGAATCCCTGGGCTTTACACTATCCGGTACAATATTTACTGCGGCAAAATTCGGAATAGTTACGGTGAAATCGGCAGATGAAAACGATGCCAAAACCGGCGTTTAAATGTACCCATACTTTTTGGCGCCGGCAGTGGGCATGCTTGCAGGTTGAGCGGTCGATCTAAGAAACGGAGCATGCCAAGCATTCATTTCGGGTGCTGGAGTGAGCTTTCGGAGCATTTGTTTGCCACCGCGACACTGCTTGTAATCAGTTGGGAATAAATTCTACAGTCCTAAGTCTACAGCTCATTCCTGCTGCTGGAGGAACTTTTTCATTGTTGCCAGTAGAGACTTTAAGCTTGAAGAAAAAAAATGGCGGGGTCAGAAATGATAAATTCAGTAATCAGTTCAGTCTATATTGTTGATAGACAAAGCTCTAGAAATTGTAGCAGGCACGTAGCCAGGGGAGGGGGGGGCCATGGGGCCCGCCCCCCCCCCCCCCCCCCCCCCCCCCACCAAAATCTTCCATTTTGCTGGGGCCTCCTCTCCCCCCTCATACTGCATTTTGTCATAGGTGCCCCCCCCCCCCCACGAAACAAAATCCTGGGCACATGCCTGAATTGTAGAGAATTTTACCCACATCTCCGTCACAATTTATCACTCGTATCACGAATCCAACATGTTTCAAGTGCAAAGTTTTGCAACCTTAATATGTTTTATACAAATTTGCCCCTTTTAAGGTGTGTGTATAAATTTTAAGCGTGCGTACGGTCTTAACCATGTATATTTGGGGTGAATATGTACCTCATGTTCGTGTTTTACCGCAAGGGCCTTAGAGCCGTTGGTATGCACGTAAAAAATAAACATGGAGCATAACTTCGAGATAAAAGTAATTCTTTTTGCCTAATATTTGGGTTACTAGTTCAGCGATGCTTGTTGGTGCATCTCATCAACTTCAAGGCGAATCGGAGACCATGAGGGAAACGCCAGGGTATCCCTCTGACCATCGCCCCTTGTGTGCACAGAGTGCATGGAGGCGGAGAAGCGGGTGAGCGAGCTGGGCTTCCAGTGCGGATACCAGCGGCGCACCCGGGACCTGCTGGCCTGGGCCAAGAAGCGCAAGCGCCACATCCGCCGGGAGGACCTGGTGGCCTTCCTGTGCGGCAAGGGCTCCGCCCACCAGGGATCGGGCCACGCCCACCCGTACCACCACCACCACCACTGGGGCTCGCCCCGGCAGAGGCTGGCCCTGGAAGGGGTGGCACCCCTCAGGGGGCAGGCATCAAGGCTCGGGGGCGGGCCCGTGGGGGCCGGGGCCCTCGGGGGCGGGGCCGGAGGAGGCGGTGCCATGGGGGGTGCCCCGCCCAGTCCCGACGCGGAAGACGTGGACCTGGACACGTTTCGGGAGGCACTGGCTATCTCGTCGGGTGAGGGTGCTTTTATTATTTGTTTATTCAGTCAATGTCCAGAAACGGCTGTAGCCTGGATATTTGTGCACACTCAAAGAAAGAAAGAAAAGGCTGGTTCACACATTTGAGCTTGACTGTGCTCAAGCTTGGTCATCGTCATACAAAGCCATTCACTTACGGTGGCCACGAATAGATGTTCTTACTGGTGAATCCTCGGTGTTCTCATATACACCTTCAGCTTTTCTCTCCATACACAAATCGTTGTAAAGAATGTGGAAAAAAATGATAATCTGCGTCTTGAAATATTCCAAAGGTGCTCGAAATGCATAGCCCTTATAGATCCTTTGTGATGTCATGATGTCACTTGACGTTAAGTCACATGACCATGTGACACAATGACGCCAGTGTCGTGCGATGTCACATGGCAAGGGTAATGCTGATATCAGGTGAACGTCGGCGTCACGTCGCCGTCAAGGCTACGTGCGGACACAAATGAACTAAGAACTGGGCTTTTGAATGCTGCTCTTAAAATCTATCGACCTTAGCCTCCTCAACCTGCAGCTCGAGTGAGTGGCCAGACGTCCTGGGGTCGGTTTGAGCTGCTGCTGTTAATCTTGGCCACATGCCTGGGGTGGCAATACTCGAAGCATGTGCAGTGCCTCAGGCATTGTTTGGGATTAGGTACGTCCAAATAGCTGCCGACACGTTGAATGGACTGGAGTGCGAGCCAAGCGATGATGCAGTGTGCGTGACCAGTCTGCGGGCTGCGTTTGTGCCGATTTCGACTGGAAGGTATTGTCTCTGTTTGGCCTGACAGAATGAGAAATTTACAACTTTTCTTCTTTTTTTTTTTTTTTTGGATTTAGGCATTACTGTTTCTAGGGCTTGTGTTTATATAACTTGCGATTCGGTTCCATTGAAATTTACATAGCTTATCTGCCGTTACAATCTTAATACAGACTTGTACTTGTTTTCTATTTAACCTGGCGAGTTTTGTTAATGTTGAAAATTTAATTAGCAAAGGTTATGGGAAGGATTGAGACAAATTGAAGTACTTAAATAAAATACTAAAACATACCGTAGAATACCGCGCATCCGCCCATTCCACATTAAGCGCCCATATCCAAATTTCTAAGATATGAAAAAGTAGGCACAGTACATTTATATGTAAAATTGATGACCGGACAAGCGCCCATCCCCCATTTTTTTTCACGATTATCTCTAAATTTTGAGTGGGCGCTTGCCCGGTATTTTACGGTATATCAGTAAACTAAAAGGTCTGCAGAATTTTGAGTAGGCACTTGCTTGGTATTTTACGGTATATCAGTAAACTAAAAGGTCTGCAGAAACCGATCAGGCTCCCATCGAAGACTCCCATCACTTCAAGAACGCCTTAGCTAACATTGTATGATTATATGCCATTTTTTGTTTATTTGTATTACCATTTTTGCTGTACTCTGTTTGTTTAATTTCTTCTTGATTGTAACCACTCCCCTCTCTAATGCCTTTGGCCCTGAGGGTATACTAAATAAAATAAAAATAAAAAAAAAATATAAGCTCTGGGATGATTTATAGGCTTTTTGGACACTTGGATTTTCCTGTTGCAAAATGGTTTATTGCAGGGTGCCTTACAGGGCACCTAAAAGAAGACTGGTACCATATTTAATTATTTATATCCTTTATATTGTGTGTCACACATACACCCACCGGAGAAATAAAAGAATGATGAAGATTGAATATGTGCAAGTGGAGATATGGCTTCTATAAAATAGCAGAGTGTGTAAATAGTTTGCTCAGAAATAATAGCAAGTATCCACGGACGCATTTTGTTTCCAAAACAATATTTCTAGATAAGAGAATTATTTCACGAAAATCCTTCAGGACAAGTTGATAAGTGCCTTCCGATCTTGAAAGAACACAATGTTTAATAAAAGATGTAAGGAGCAATGTTTCTTTGCTTTTTTTTTTAGTGGCCCTTTTCAATTCGTGCTGAGAATCTGAATTTCAAAAATAAAACATATATATATATATATTTTTTTTTTTTGTTTTAGGATTGCATTTTATAGGTAAATGGATAACTTATGTGGGTGCCCTTTATATGCGTGGACATTATGTCACTATATGGTCACGGGACTCAGGAGCTCGTGCAACAAGTGGCAGCAAGGTTATTGATGCCGATTATCCCGAGATGGTGACTACAAACTGGTGGGCCTCCCATCCTGTTTAAAGGGGAACTCCGGCGATTTATTGGTAGACTTCGATTTGGCTGGAATCCATCCGCATCAATAACCCTTTCTCAACTGATAACCAAAATATTTAAAAAAAATAAAAATTTTCCGTGAAGTTGTTAAATTTTCAAGTTACGCCGGCCGCGAGGGTTCCAGGAGGCGACTCTTTACTGGCAACAATAAAAAATCCCTACTTTTCCCTACTCACGTACGTCACGGATGTGCAGGCGGGCGAGCGACTCGGGCAGCGGCGAAGTGGCTGCTGCCCGAGATAATTTTTTCACAGCTTCAAGGTTGAAAGTTCCTTTGCAATAAGTAGCAATCTGTGCTCCGCGATAGAGTAGAAACAGTGCCGGGAAAAAGCTTATTTTTTTACCCTTCTTTTCGTGGGAGAAAGAAAAAAGCGTTCCCTGGCAGCAATGGAGGCCAGCCACGTCAAGGTGCTTTTCCGCGAGCTGTGTGCCGAGAGAACTAGTGTCGCATGAAACATTTGCACTTTTGCCCGGAATACTTTATAGCCTTGTGCTCCGAGTTGAGTATCCTTCAGCAGCTGGAACAGCTTCAAGAGCAGCAAGCGCAGACTGAAGCAGGCTGTGACCATAACGACATCCGTCCAAAGAAGAGCGCTAATAAAATAGAGAAATATAGTACACAATCTAGCACTATAGTGGACATTTTGCACAGTCAAAAGTGTTATTCACAATTAATTCAGTCTTTTTTCTTTTTTTTTTATAAACACTACATTTGTTTCGGTCGTCGAATCTAGCTCAGGTTACTCTCGGAGTTCCACTCAGGCGGCCGATATGTTAAAAACGAGGAGTGAAACGTCTAAACAAAGTTCCAAGTCTGAATTTAGACATGACTTTCGATATATTGCTATTCCTGTCTGCTATTACAGAGCTTTATGGAGCAGGTGTTGAGCTCCATTAATATACGACAGAGCCTTTCCTAGTTTGTCAAATGGTTGGCTTGCAATATTCTATGCAGAAAAAGTGATCAAAACGTCTTTCATTTATTCTATTGCTAAGAAATTTTATATAGGGCCGAAAAGCTTTGTTTTGTTTTTTTTAAACCATGAAAATATTAATGTTGTTAGGGGAGGCATACAAATTTACAGCTGGTGAAAACTGCTAAACCAACTTAATTTAAAAAAAAAGAAATCTTATATAGAATTACCCCCTTCCCTTGTGCTCTCGTGGATGGGTAACTTTTGTTAACTTATTTTGAATTAAAAGATTTATGATGTCTTTCTGTACCTCACACACTTTTGTATCTTCAGGCAAATATTCTTTTTTTGGAAATGAACAGTGTATTTGGTGTATTTTATACGCATTCCATTGCACCTTGATGTTTGGCTTGGTGATTGCGATGTTCTTTTAAACGTCATTTTAACACGATCTTCATGACCAGTAATTTGCCATCTGATCTACATGAATGCAGTTCATTCCATTCTATGCATTTCATTGTTTACGAGAATCACAGTCTACATGTCTTAGGTCCCTGCTCAGCATGCACATGTTCATCGCTTTGGAAGGCGAGCAATGTACATGCCACTGGCAGAAATGCTGAAAATGGCATCGACCAGAAGCACTTTTCAGAAATGGTCTACAGATCTTTTGCCAAATTACTTAAGCACCAAGGGGCATATTCAAGCCACAAGAGTAGTTACACGTGCTGACACCTGCAACAGCAACTTTTCAAAAGAAAGTCTAAAACAAATGGCACATTCTTTCAGGTCATACGGGCGTGTGGGGCATCTGTACCCACATTCCGAGCATTTTCCGCGGTGCTTTGGAAATTCGTCAAAAAATGTATTGCGTGACTTTTGGACCTTTCTTTGCCAGCCATCTTATAATAAAAAGAGAATGGATTTACTAGCGATATCACGAAGCTAGCGAGCCGCGGCTTGAGCGTGGCGAGTTGCAGAAACGGTTTTATAAAAATTCCGATTGCTCCCGTTTTTGTTTTTTTTTTTTTTACTTTTTTTATAGTTATGTACGTAGGCCAAGGCCATACTTTGTACAAATCAGGGTGTCGAACCGGAACGGAACCGAACCGGTATTTTTTTCTGGAACTGAACCCGAACCGTTATATTGTTATCGCGATGAACCCGAACCGGAACTGAACTGGAAAAAAAAAAACGGTTACCGGCTCATGTCAAAACGGTTCGGCCACGCGCTGTTGACAATGAATGTGCTATCGATGCCATTTGTTCTTTAAGTGCCGTCAACTGACACACACCTCGCTTACATATTTTTCTTCTCCACTCAGTCTTAGGAATATAAACGCTGCGTCCATGAATCTTGACAAACGCTGCATTCATGAATCTTGCCATAGGAACCAGTATTGCGCTGGTTGCGGCTTGCACGGAAAAAAGAGAATTAAAGGCTGTGCAAAAAAAAAAAAAAAGATATCGCGTCACGGGATATCATTTTTCTACAATCTCGTAAATCCTAAATGCTGCTGTGTGCTCATTTCATAACATGTTTCTAGAACGCGCGAGTTCTCGAAGCTTGCTTCCATCGGAATGAGAAAAGAAAAGGCTGTGGAGTTTGATAATAATGCATCCGGTTTCGTATAGGCACTTAGAAGCTAACATATTTGTGAAACAGCGAACTCTTCTATTTTAATATTTATCCTATTACGTCCTTCTGGCGTTGCGTTCGGTGAAGTGTTTTTCATATTCCGTATCTTGTTTAATGAAAACTTCCTTAAGGGTCTAATTTGAGTTACCGAAGGCTAGTTCAAATAAAGAATGCTGTATTTTCTCCCCACTGTTCCTTCAACTGCTTACATGCCGAGGTGGCGGGATAGTTAGCGAGTTCTACTTGTAAGTGGGTTTGTAAGGAGGTCGCGGATTTTACAGCTACTGCGTCGGACCCAATTAGATGATGTCCGAATGCGTAAACGTCGGTGAGGTAACCTTTGAGTGCACATAAAGAAACCATTCCTGGTAGAAATCCCAGAGCCTTACACTACGATGTATCCCGTTTCGTATGTGCTGATTTCAGATGTTTTATTTGTAATTTATTTTGATGTTGCAATTTGTAATTTATAATTTCCGAACCGGTTCGCAAACCGGTTCAGCACCCCCGAACCGGTTCGGGATGGAATTAATCGAACCGGAACTGAACCGGAACAAAATTAATTTACCTGAACCGGAACCGTAACCGAACCCATATTTTTTTCGGTTCGACACACTGGTACAAATATATATAATTATCAACTTCAAACAGCACGAACGCCCAGGTTTTCTCGCTGTTAGACGCGAGAAAGGCGGGCGCGAGCGTACCCGATTGCTGGCCGCACGCCTCGCTGCACACAAGTGACGTCACGCTTGGGCGGCGGGGAAAACTGGGGAAAAACTAGGGAGAACAATGTTTCAGTTTTGGCAGTAAACAAAATATCACTTTTTTAATTAACTAGAGTGAATCTGGGAGAACAAGATAGCATTTCGGAATCAGGAAGCCATCCACATCCAGATTATGCCTTTGGATTAGGTAGCTCGAAAAGTCGGTGGAGTTCCCCTTTAATAGACTGGTTAGGAAGAAGGTTGGTTGTGGGCCCACTTATGTCGCGGTCAGCGTACCTCAAAGTATTGAGGCCTTTCTCCGCTTCTGTCAGTTTAGCCAGTACCGTAGTGACGCAATGTGCAGCATCGCCGTCGCTTTTGTCTCAGTTGCCCCTGCGCTGTCGTTTCTTTCAGTTTACGTCACCTCTTCAGTGGTTGAAAGACTGCTTGGTCAAATGTACCCTACAGTCTGTAGGGTACTGATGGCTCGGAGAACTTGACACTTGTTGCAGTGTCCCTTACAGTCTGTAGAAGACAGATGGCTCGACGAACTCTAGAGGACATTTGTTCTCTAGTCTGTACAGGACAGACGGCTCGGTGAGCTGAACACGTGCCATTGTAGAGTGTCCTCTAGAGTCCGTACTTGGTGAAGTGAACATTTGGAGTTGTAAGGTGTCCTCTACAGTCTGTAGAAGACAGAGGGCTTGGCAAACTGTGGAGGACCTCCGTGCTCTAGTCTGTGGAGCAGGGGTTCTCAAACAATCTCAAGGAGTCTTTACCTGCTCTCACTGATAGCCAAGGAACCCGTCCCGGTCTGGGCATTAGTGCGGTAAAGCAGTTCAGAAGCCTACAGACCTTGCAAGTAGTAGTAGTACACATACTAAGAAGAGTATTGTGTATTAAAAAAAGCAAGAGAACAGTGATTGTGTAGGCAAGCTGGTAGTAAATAATTATAAATTAACGCCGGAAACTATGGTGCTGAAAAATTAAGTAACTTTTAAAGTCCAAGGAAAAGAACAGCTGGAGGACATCTTAGACTCGGCCAATTTCATTTATTCTTCTCGCTCCTTGCGGCCGATTCACACGGCGCACTGATCCGCGGATTGATTGATCATGTAACGACATGTCTGCGGATCGTCAGTCCCCCGAGCGCATCCACATGAGGGAGACAACGAGCAGACTAGAGCGAGGATGGACCGAACCTTTTCACGTCCCCAGAGTCCCGCAAAACGCCAACATCGCACGATTGCACTGTGGCACGGTTGTCTAAGAGCAAAATTAATGAAAGGCTGATTGGACGTGCAAGAATTATTGCGGCGTGCTAGACGAGTTTTGACAGAAGCTTCTTGACTTGGACCGGGAGGAGTACCGAATCCTGCTTTGCGTCAGCTGGGCAAAGTTTCTACAGTTCCTTTCACGCGTGGAAGCAAGAATCACACAACCAAATTAACCAGCTATTGCACAAAATGCAATAACGTGCCATTTTTGTTTTAATCATCCCTAAACAAACAAAAAATAAACATTGTGCCGTTGTCAGACTACACATTTATCGAGTCAATCACCCGCCGAAAATCCGCAAGTGGAAAGGCGCTCGACCATTTCACTCCGCGCGTCCGCGAACGAGGCACGGATCGCGGGAATCGGTGACTTCACAGTCACGTGGTACGTCGTGTGAATCGGTCATTATATACACCCGATGCTAACATCACCGACCTCTCCACAGATACTGTTTGCGGACACTACAACTGAATAACCTCTTAACAGCGAGGCCTTGATAGTGTTAGACGCTGTACTACCCTTTCTCACAATGGCTATGACCCTGAGTCATTTCTATTTATCTAACCAAAACAAAACGATTTGATGATAGATCATTCTGTTGTTGTGTCCATAAAGAGTATATACATGAAGAGGTCGGTGATGTCCGCATCAGTATATATAAGGGGCGAGAAAAATAAATGACAGTTGCTAGGTTTGAGATGTTCTCCTACTGTTGTCTTTTTCTCCGGCTTGAAAGTTCTTTAAGTTTTTCACACCACAGTTTCAGGTGTTAGGTTATGATTATTTTGGTCTTATAGTTGTGCATCAATGGGTAGCTCAGATCTGCTAAGATGCTTTTTAAACTGGAAAGACATTTTACGTGGGGGCAGGGATGGCGGAAGAAATTTAAAGGTGCACGATAAAGACGTTTTTGGAATCATCTGTTCTTGGTGATAACTTATCTTATGAACTCCCAAGCATCCTAGAAATTCAAAAATTATGCATTTGCAACGTCTGTTTCCCTACTAAAAATGTGATAGAAGTTTCTGGCATGCCCCTTTCCAAGTGTAAAAATCTAGAGCACAGAATCCACCAGAGGCGACGTGACGACGGACGCGCGTCAGCCAGTCGCAAGCCACCTCTCTCGGAAAGGCGGTTTGCGATTGGTTGATGCGCACTTGTCGTCACGCTGCTGGCGCCTCCGTAGAATTCTGTGCTCTAGATTTTTCTGCTCAGAAAGGCGCGTGGCACAAACTTTTATTACATTTTTAGTAGGGAAATAGACGTCGCACCAGCATAATTTTTCGATTTCTGAGATGCTAAGATCCCGTAGAATGAGTTATCCCCAAGAACTGACGATCTCAGAAACGCCTTTAGTGCACCTTTAAAGGAGCTGTGCAACGATTTTAACGTTGAAAGAATTGACATCTTCTACTTTTGACATTGTTCATCTGGTCACAAAGGACAGAAAACACGCCTCTTCCCTTCGAAATGTTGCGATTCCGCCGCGTAATCGCGAGGCAAAAATTAGAATATTCTCCGACCTGCAGCCGCGAGCAGCGGCCATGAGAAACACGCGGCGTGACGTCAATGGGGGTATTGTAGAAAGATAGCAGGTTGTGCGAATACCTGCTCGATAAAAGGTAACTTTTCTATACATCTTGTCGTTCCAACATAATTATATATGCGTCAAAAACCTGGTATCATATCTACAAAAGTTTTATTATACGGAGTTTTAGTGGCGCCATCTATCCTAGGTCCACAAAACCTTGGGCTCTATGTGCTACCGCGAACAGAAGCCGGAGGGGGAGGGGGACAGAGCCGGACGGGTATTGCCGGACCCGGATGAGACTTTCCTCCTTTCACCATATTGTCCGCGCTGTGCCAGCACGTGGTCACGCGGTCGCGAGTGGATGAGTTCTTGCTGCTCACTGAAGGCTGTAGAGAGAGAGCTTCACCGGAACCCCGCGCGATTCCCATTGACATCACAGCGCACGTGACTCGGAAGATTGTGAAGGAGTTGAGAGGTGCCGAAAACCTCAATCTTCGTTCATTTTTAAAATAAAAACTAGGATATGCAGGCAAAAGTGGTTTTTTGTTCTTTACTTCAGAAAGGTCGAGACACTAACTCCCAAATTATTTAAGCAAAGCACTGAAACCGTTGCACAGCTCCTTTAAGAGCTTGGAGAACGCTTGAGGGCACTTAGGTTACCTTCCTAGGAACTGCCGTTAAAGAACTCGTGCTGTAGAGGATGGACGGCTGTGTGAAGTGTTTTCCAGTCTATCTTCCCCGCTCAGACTTTGCATTCGCTCGCTTGTTTTCCCCCCAGCACTGGGTTCCAGTCGAAGCCACAGTAGTGCAATCGGCGGAGTGTCTCCCCCCGGCTACCGTTGTGGTGCCCCCACGGCGGCCAGCCTGAGCAACTTCATCGCTGAGGAGTTTGCTCGCCACGTGGAGTCCCGCAAGCGGGGCGCTTCGGGAGGCACCTCCCCCGGAGACGTGGTCATGGACTCGCCCACCCACAAGCGGCCGCGTCTTCTTTGAAGGCCAGGCCCGTCCCTCACCATCCAAGGCCACGCGCCCGCGGTCATCTGTCGTCTGCAATGCGTCGCAGTCTCCGGGAACCTGGCAGCGTCGCGGTGCCCTCGAATGGGGCGGGGGTCTCGTCAAGCATTGTCATTGGAGGTCACTGGCTTTTGCTGGCTGTTGTGAACGGCCGTCTGCAACTCTGAACGCTGTGCGCTGAAGTTTTGGATGTCACCCACCGACTGCCGTCATCTCCGATCCTGGTTGCTTCTGTCTGCCGTCACCAGCAATCCTGGTTGCAGTCTGCTGTTAACGGCAGTCTGCAACCCCAGTCGATGTCTGCAGCTGTCTGCAATCTTGGTTGTCGCCTGCTGCCTACGGTCATCTGCAAACCTGGTGCTCATCTGCTGTCTGCAGTGGTCTGTATTCATGGCGACCTTGCTCATCTGTGATGGTGATTACACGCTACGGTCATTGGCCACCCTGGTTACCGTCTACGAGTTTGGGGTTGCAGAACATCATCCCCTAGCCTGGTCATCAATCGTCACATACAGTCACCTGGCGTCTCGGTTTTTGGGCATCGGGGACCTCCCGCAGCCGGCCGTTGCGATTGCTGCGGACAGTCCTGGTGGGGAGTGACCACCAGCGGCTGCCTTCAACAGTCTTCTGCTGTCAAGATATTGCCGACGAGCGCCCGACCTGTCGTCTGCTCTCACCCAAATTCCATATAACTGGTGCCGGCCTGGTAGCAGAAGAGAGCTGGCCGAGCAGTGGACACTGTTACGTATCTATCTTGCAAGCAGCTGGGACACGCGACCAAACTAAAGTGGCCGTACCATCGTCATTTGATGCCGAGAGAAATGGGCGCAATAAAGGCAGGTTTGCAGACCGCAGGTCTTGGTCTGACGCTAAGGTCGAGGTCGGACGACGCAGAAAGTGCCATATGCAGACGGCGGTCCCTCGCAAACTGCAAGTCCTCCCGGGAACGGGGATCTTGCCGTCTTGGGTTTTGTCGGGCCTTCAACCAACGACAGCTTTTTGTGCCGCCGCTTTGTAAAGTGCCACAAATGATCTCGCTGCCACGTGCGTTTCTGAGCCAAGAGAGAGAGAGGCTGGGACTACAAGTACCAGATGGATGCTTGCAGACGATAGACGCGACAGGCATCCTCCAGCAGTATTTCGTGCATATTGTAACAGAGATGCTGTCGTTGACTGCCTCACGGATCTCTCCCCTCCCCCTCACCGCCTCCCTTTTCCTCCCCCACCCCCCAAAAATTTACGAAGTGAAAGACACCCGAATTTTTTGTTCGGCATAGCCGGACAGTAACTGTTGTTTTGCGTGTTTTTGATTGCACCTCGCTCCTCGGCCTTTATTACTATTTTATTTCGGACGCATAGTCGCGGAGGAGCGATTGTTTATTACTGTTTTGTTCCACGATTTTTTGACCCCACCACCGCCAGCATTGAGGACTCTGTCTCGTTGTTTATTGATACCGATTGTTTCCATATCCCGTACGCTTGTAAATCCGTTTTTGTTTCTCCCGCGCAACCAATCTTGAGTAGGCGTGGCTCGGGATTCGTGTTTGCGGTTTTCCCCCCTCTGTACATAGTTCTTATTTTACTGTTTGCTCGTTTGTTCTTGCAACTCTCGCGCCACTGCATTTTTTGAGGACGACACCGACTCTGGGATGCAACATGGATGGCAGCTTCGACCTTCCGTTTACCCCGAGTTCCCAAGCAGCCGACAGCTTTGAATGCATTGTTTCGAAACCTTGTTTCGGTAAGGGAGCAGACCTGGGGTGCACCAGGGTCGCCCCATTATGCCCACTCGAACGAGGTGCTGGCTACCGACCGATTGTTTTCTTCTGTGCTGCATGTAGGAACAAACTTGTTTCATAAATCTTTTCCCCCAACTTTGCTAGGAGCCTTTTCTTTTTTTTTTCTTCTTTTCTTTTGCAGCCTTGCTGAAGAGTGCCTTATCTGACGCACGCCCGCAGTCCGATCACCTGCAGTTTGATTTGTTGATACTTAGTTTTCTTTTAGGTTCAGCTAAAACAAATTGTGGCAGATTTCACTTTTGCTATTGACTGGCTTGGGCAGTACATTTTAGCATTCAGATTTTGTCGCTGAATGTAAACTATTGCAAAGCAACAAAATGTTACTATTTGAATTGGAGAGGGCTCTGGCCAAAAGATTTGGATGCTGTGATTATCGACCTTCAGGAATCCGACTGTCCCGCACAATGAACATCTTGTTCCATGCAGGAACTCTTGAGTACCATGTTTTTAGTCAAATCTCGTTCCTGCCTCAAAACTTAATCATCCTCTTAATATTTTCAAAAATCCGGTATTCGGAGCAGTTTTGACATTGTGAATCTCTTGTGGCTTGTGCAACATTGTTTTGGTTGGCACCCGTTTCAGGCGCCAACAGTATTCCAGCAATTTCTCGTCGGCTTTGAGATGAGGCTTATCCGTGTAGATTGTTTTGGAGGGAAAGTTTTCTTTTTATTTAAAAAGCTGGAGTCAGTTTTGGCACGGATATATTTTCTAGTTTTGGTCGCAAGGCTGGCGCATCTGCTCAACGGACCAGGAGGAAGCTGCAGCATTTTTTTTTGTCTGTTTGTTTACCCACTGTTTATAGTTCCCCCTGTTCGTTTATTTTTATATAAGTAAGTTTGACAGAGAAATGACCCATGTTCTTTTTTTGGATCTGTCATCTCGGCTTGTCTGTCAGCAGTGCTGCTTTGAGAGTTATAAAGGACATTACTTTGCTTTCACTGGACCTCCTTGACTCTTAATTTGCACGGCATCTGCACGCCGATGTTTGGTCACCTATTTGTTCCCTCGGTGGAGACTAAGTGAAAACTGATGGGGATTGCATGGCAATCAGCCTATTCGTTTTGCCATGTCCACAGTTGGTGCCGAGTTATGGCTTTGATGCATTGAGTAAGTGAGGGTTAGTAGGTTAAACTCTGATCTGGGACCCTAAACTCGTCAAGCACAAAGTTGGAGCCGAAAGTTTGCAAAGCGCCCCGATTAGACGTCACCGAAAAAGGCGCGAAGTCATCGTCGTGTTGGGCCAATCGCTGGGCTCCCTCAACTTCGGCCCCAACTTTGTGTTCGACGAGTTTAGAGACCCTGAACTGTCAATAAGGGTTACGTGCAGTGATGGAGATGTTAAACGATCAAATTGTGTGCTCTGTGGGCTGGGCTTTTGCTAGATACAAACTTGTATAAGACTGAACAAAAACACTGCCGAAGTCAATGCTTGGGTAGAGCGCCAGGTGAAGTAGAGTCTCGCGCGATTGTGCGCTTCAAGCTTGGCAGGCTTTCCTTCACAGGGAAAGAGAGAGAATAAACTTTGATTGGAGCACCATGGTCTCGCTTGCTGAGGAGCTGCTTCTGGCAAGCCTGCCCTCTGTGAGTGGGCAACAGTATCGCCTGGTCCTCGCAGAGTAGACAGTTGCATCCTAAGATTACCAACCACCAAATGGGTATGAGACCCTCCCATGGAATGTTTATGGCATGAATTCGTCTCTTCGATCTCTCGGCACACGTCAAAAGTGATTTGCCAATCACGTGGAGGTAGGTAAAGGTGTCTCTGCTGACCCTGTTGCAGATTCCTGTAGACTTGACTCTTAGGCAAGTTCAGATGAAAAGTAATGTAGGGGTCCAGGACTTTTAGTTTAGATGACAGTACAGTGAAATGGTTGTTAGACCTAGGACGTGACTAGAACTGGAGTGTTTTGGTACAGAAGTTGCACTTTCACCAAATCGAGAGTACAGATGCAAACCATTCGGTGCTGGTTGCGCTGCGGGTCGGTCCCGACGACCATGTGCGAAGTTTGCTACTTCGCTTTGCCGTCGACGGAGGAGTTCCGTTTTCTGGGTGGTAAAGGAAAGAAATAACGGAGACGAATGGACCTTTTTCCAGTAAGCGTCTGCGCACGCGCACACCCTTTTCCCTTGACCTTGACCGCCCTTTCGCCATTCTTGGGGGGCGCCATTCTTGGGGGGCACTGTTTTCTTGCGACACTAATCTGTTTCCATGGGAGAAGGCGAGTCCGGTTGCCCTCCGTTTGTAGTAGGCGGCGAAACCGTCATGAGGCGCTCCTTACTGGAAAAAGGTCCATTCAGCAGATGTCTGAAAGTTGTTGCACCGCCCCTTTAGCCACTGTATCAAAATTGTGTTAAGCGAACCCAAATCTAAACCTTGCGAAACATTATTTTACGTACACCACTTATTTTTTTATTTATTTATTTATTTTTTTTTTTTGTTATAATGTCTTATATGTTATGTAGCAGCATGATTGCTAAACTGGTGCGAAAACACAAGACGCAGGAAGAAGACCGTGCAACTATCGTGTGTGAATGAACAGGATTTTAACTCTGCAGATGTAAAAGGTAAGGTTCTGAACGAAGAGCCAGAACAACAGCATAAAGAAGTGTGCTCGCCACACAGGCGCATTGTTGCTATAGTCTGTGACGGGTTAGGAGTAAAGTGGAAGCTTCTCCCACCTCTCCCGTTTAACAGAGCGAATGCTTCAAAGAGGGTCGCCTCCTCTCCAGCATTCAATCTGCTAAAGTGGAAAGAGGAGCTCCACTTGACTCTTAACTAGGGCTGGACACTTGATCGATTAACCCACCAATTAATGCATTAATTGCGATCAATTCTTTAATTAATTAAATTTCGACGAGCAAAAAAATAAAAAAAATTCTGCACTTTCATTACGCAGTTGGGGACAAGTACACCTATATGAAGGCGAACTTCAGGTTCTCCAAACATGGAGAGAAGGTTGTACGTGTATCCCAGCCAATTCAAGACCGTGCGAGTGTTCGTTTAGTGCAGCAGACTGTGGACAATCAAGGGAGTTCGCTATTGGCGGAGAATATCAACGAACCTCTTTGCCTCCGCGGCTGAAGTAATAAATTATGAGTGTGGGTGTCTTGACTGTTCTCAACTACACGTCAGGGTTGATTTAAAATCTGAAATTGTACATTGCACCTTTTTCCACATAGCCGGCGGAGGCAAAATATGCAATTTTGACTTTTTTTAAAAACAATAGTGCATAGGAATGAACAGAACCGATTAATCGATTAAAGGGTACCGATTAATCGGGTTAAATTTTTTAATTGACGCCCAGCCCTACTTTTAATTTGTCACCGACTATAGTCGGTGACAAGTAGGGACGGAACGAGCGGGTTGGTATGGATAGTAAACTTGAGGAAGAAAACGAGAAAGGACGGACAAGGATGGTTTCACATACAAAGCCTACCATTTTGATGTTTGGCTATGCATATGTGAAACAAACGCATACCGACAGACCACCAAGGATGGTTTCACATAAAGCAGTTGGCGCAAAAACGCGCGTGACGTCACATGTGTCATCATAATTGCCGTCGGGAAAGGGGGAAGATGTTGATGTCACAAAATACTTTATAGGACAATGCATTATATCCCGCTCATTTTCATTAAACAGCGCGCCATCTGCACCAAACCCTCCCCTAGTGGAGGGGACAATGTGTTTGAACTTTGACGTCACGGTAAACACCTCGTGACTTCGCCTGACCATACATCCCTGACCTCATATCGGACATAGCGGAACCATCAGACACCCGTTTGGGCAGAATTCAGCTCTTAGGCTTTCATATGGAGGAGGATTAACTTCCCGCTGCCTGAACTTGCATCCAACAAATTACCGATGCAAACTGGCATTCAAACCTGGCGCCCTTATTGAATTGTTCCGTTTGCTAAAACCGTTCCTAGATGGCAGCACCACTCCGCTCCGCTCTGTTCTGCTCGTTCTGCTCTTTTTGGCCCCTTTCTCGTTGAATCCTGGACAAAACAAAAGCTCACCAGACAGAAGCTCACCGGACAAAAGCTCACCCATTTTTTCATAGACCCGGACAAAAGCTCACCAGGAGAAAATTTCATGCTGGTCTTAAAACGTGTGGGTACAACTTAGGTGCATGCGTGCGACTCTAAAATGCAACGATAAATCTGACAGGCGCATGGTTTGTTGCTTAGAGTAGAAACAAGTATATTTATCGATCGGTTAGAAGCGAATGCAGTCCACCACTAGCTCCAGCAGTCTTGGTAGATCTGGGTGTACCTGTAATCCCTCGAAACTATTTTTCACGCGATTCCGCAGGCGCAGGGTGGTTTTTCGCACCCGCTTCTCTAGGGGTTCACCTCTGCGGGCTTGTGTCAATGCCGTGGCAACGAACACCTGATTTTCCTGTGGGCATTCAATCAGCATCGAGACGCTTGGATGGGCGTGGCCGACTAACTTCTGGAACCCGGTATTCGAACCTTCGTAGGTGCATTTCCGGTTTTTGTATTGAAGAGTGGCGTTGTACATATTCCACCGTTCCGAAGGAAACGGCACACAGTCAAGCAAAGGGAAGAATTTGCTCTGGGTGCCGCCGCAGAGGGAGCAGAAGCATAACGGAAGGGGCCGTTGACATACGTGCAATCAAAGTAGTCCAGGGGGTCGCCGATGTCACCGGTAGACTTTTCCCTGGTGTAGGTTAGTCCTTCGGGCACAAGTTGTGGTGGAGGGAGCGCCAGCGTATCCAAAATCCCACACAGCTTTCTAAGTTGGTCATCTGTCCAAAAGGCCAACCTCCCGTTCCCTTGATAATATTTTTAAAACTTCGCAACTCAATAATTTGTATATTACAGTTTTGCTTCAGTTTCCTTTTCACAACGCCCTGAGATAATCCCTGATTTCAAATACATTTACGACGCTCAATGAGGGAATGAATTTAATTTTTCTAGCCACTCACTTCAAATATTAATCTGAACCCCAAGAAAACCCATGTATTAGTAATGAAGAGACATTGTGCCTAACCTTTATGTGCGCGTTTAGCGCGACATAAGCACAATAAAAAAAGCGAAGTCGGCAAAAGGTGACTTAGCTTCTTCGGTCACTCTTCGGGTTCAAAAACTTCGGTTCACGAAGTTTCTTGGGCGTGGCACAAGGGTGCTCCGGCATACCTTGAGTCAAGCAAGCTTGATCTTATCAGCTCCACTCAGTTTCAGTGACCTAAATTTTGGTCCCAGATCGTTGCTTCTCTGCCTGTTATGGCTTATCTGTCGACACCTTCGCATGGGATGGGATGCCAGTTCTCCTAAATTCTGTGCAATGTCCATCGCATCCGCACTTTATCCCAACCAGTGCTTCGCCCTGGGTAGCAAAAAAAAAAAAAAAAAAAAAGATGAGGTGAGCTTTTGTTTGGTTAACTTCTCGTTTGCTCTCTCCCCGTGGGAAAGAAAGATGGCGGTATCATCGTGTCGTAGTCGTACAAAGTGGAAGCTGTTCCCACCTCTTTCCACTTCAGCAGAGCGAACACTGCAGAGGAGGTGACCTGCTCTCCAGCGTTCGCTCTGCTAAAGATGGAAGGGGTGGGGGTTTAATTCTTTACAAGTGACAACAACCAACACGCGCGTCAAAGCCTATTTCGTAGAACAGAATGGCGTCTTGCAGTTCTTTGTGGTGGCGTAGCTAGGAATTTTTTTTCGGGGGGTTGGAGGGCGGGGGGGAGGGGGGGGGGGGGAAGGGGGAGGGCGCTGAGGTGGCTGGGATGATATGACTTGGGGTGCAGAGGGGG